GGCTATTACTTAAAAAAAAAACAGATAAAGAGAAAAAAAGAGCTTACACAAAGTACTGCCACCAAAACGGGGAGAAGGAGAATCGAAACAGAAGAAAGAAAAGAAAGGAAAGAAAATAACACATAAAAACAGCACGTCGAAAAGAGTACAACGACCCACCAAATATTATGAAGAAATAAGGTAAAAATAAACAGACTTTTAAACATTGTAAGTTTCGTTGTTTCATTCATTTATTTTTACTTTGCTTTCCAACTCTCAGCATGAGTCGAAGAAAAAAAAAAACGAGTAACAATGACGAAAGCACAAACGCGTACAACAACGAATTTTTTTTTCCTTTGGATGTACTATGCATTAACAGCTAGGGCTTATGGGTTTGGACTACATTTGGAAACGAACAACAAACACAACCGTAACAGAAGAAAACCTATGTTGAAATGCGTATTGCAAGCAGAATGGCCCTTTTGCTGCTACATTTCATTCTCTTGAACACTCATTTGCAAAACATTTGTTGGAAAAAAAAATCACGCCAACGAACATGTTATGGTCGAACTAAATAAATAAAAAGAAGAAGAAGAAGAAAAAAAATTGTGGAAAAAAGCACACAGACAATATAATTGAAATTACTATTTTGAATGCACATCGAGCGTACATGGAAATCACACTGGCCGCCAAAGTACTCACTGAATAGGCAACCAACTAAATAAAAAGACAACAAACCACTTTGGAAACATTTGTCATCCAAATTTTCGATCCATGGACCGATTTATTATTATTTTAGGCAAAACAGGAAATGTGAATTCTTTTAGTCAGTTGGGACTTGTTATTATTAACTTTGTTATTCCAATCGACACAGTCGAAAATATATTTCATTTTGTTTTAAAACAAATTATATAAAATGAATGGTCAAAACATTTTTTTCTCAAAGATCATTTGTCGCTGAGAGTGCATTGGCTGACTAATGATTTACGTTTATATCTTCTCAGCTTCGCACAATTTAATTTCGGAAATCGTGAAATTGGTTCAGAGTCAAAAGAAGATGAAAAAAATCAATTTCATTTACCAGCAGCTTGTCAAATCCATTTTGATCAATCAAAATGATCTTCCTCGATTTTGATGGCACGAATTTAAACCGTCGTAATTTTCCTCCAGAGAATGAAGAAGAGAGTGAGAGCGATCGTGAATCATACAATTTTCGCTTGGCAATCGAAACGGAATAAGTAGTAGAAACTTGGCAAACAATTTTCAGTAGTTGCAACACAAACTTGACTACAATGTATGATTAATCTATCGAAGCGTTCGATCACGATACAATATAATAATAAATGGAACAGCGTGAAAACGAAATATCGAAATAATGTAGAGAGAAAAAAAATACACACATAAATTACTCTAATGGAACGATCATTGAATTGCTGCTGCTTTTACAGCTGTCGCCGCCACCGTTTCGCATTCCCTTCAAGCAATTTGATTGCAAAAATGAGAGTAATGCGCACGAACGTGATTCCCACATGACTGATTTGACCGTAAAGTAATTGATAATGCGCCTAAAATGCACACCGAAAACAAAAGTCAACGTAAAAAAAACAACAACGAAAACCGAATCGATGAACGGAAGAATAGCACAATATCACATCTAATGGAGCACTCGACACTCTTCACGAAAAATGTGTTGAGCACAGAAACAAAACGAAGAGCAATAAAATTGAAAAAAAAAAGAAAAGATTATCAAATCTTGTGTGTCATCGTATCGCGCATTCGCCTATATTAAATTGATTGTTTTTCCGGTGCAATGAATAAACTATACCAAAAGTAAGTACGCAGCCACCAAACACTATCAATTCGACGGCAAGAGAAAGATTGAAAGAAAGAAAGAATGAGAGAGAGAGAGAGAGAGAGAGAGAGAGAGAACCACTGACTGCCGTCGATACGTAGTAAGTATATTGAGTGGAAAGAGATTCGACTTTTCTCGATTGCATTTTGATTAGTTGTAAATTGAGATTCTCTATGGTTGCTATGTGCATTTCGATTGCGTTCATTTGTTTAAATTCAAAATGACTTAATGAAGATAATTTGCGGGCAATTAGCAGCGAAATTGAAATAAATCCGAGACGGCTTAGATTGAAATGATCGTGGAACTGTGTGTTTGGGTGAAATATTGTTGGACGCGGTGTTGGATAAACTATAATTTCTCGTATTTTCAAATGAATATTCAATCTAATTGGGCAAAGATTTGTGGGCAACCGTTCATTTTTTGTTTTGTTTCCAGTGAATTGCATGATCGTTTTGTGTGCGATTTTATTTCATCTTCTTATTCTTGTTGAATCGGTCTTGAATTCTGCGCAGTGCGTATATATACTAACGACTAGAGATCCAACAAAAGGCCATTATGTTTGTGCTATTACGCCCTTTTGTTAAAAGTCGTTAGAATGAGTTCAACATACCGTGAAGTTGAAATATATGACGCGCACACTGAATTTCGGAAACGTTTGGGAGGGAGAGATGGGATTGATTGGCGTAGAATCGATAGAATCTTGTTTTCCGCAATGATCAGCAAATAATAATACGATCACTGTGGCAAATGTGCGCTGCAACAGTGTACTGCTGATGTACGAACAAGACCAACAGTATAACATTTGTAACACGCAGCATGCCTGCAGGCTTACCACGATACAAAAATATGAAATGTACTTCTTTCTATAACTTGTTATGCTATGTATTCAATGTTCTGTTTTTTTTTCCCTTTGCTTCTCTCTTCTTGCCATTGATAGTGAATGCTCGAGGTCTGTGTCTATACACACACACACACACACACACACACACCTATAAAAGGTTGAACGGCTGTGAATTGTAAACAGTGCCAACGATAATCATATGTTTTTTGTTTTCGTATTTCTCTGTTTTATCGCTATGTACTATAAGTTTTGTGCCACCATATCGCATGCAATGCATGATGCGAGTCTGTCCAAACAGACGGCAGACTGAACATTTCAAGACAAAATGAAAAACCATTACCATTGGCACTGTATCAAATTGAAAAAGATGCGCGTTCGATACCCATTTTGGTTGCATCGAAGCAATTAAATACTATGTGTGCATAATGACTATTTTTAAATAGAAAATCAATTTGTACAATTATTGCGTATCGATCGCTTTTGTCTTTGCAGTTTTGTAATAATTGTTGATATCCGTGTGCGTGTGCGAGTGCGAGTGTGTGTGCATCAATTGATATGCACGAATTGAGTGCATTCAAGAGTGACTGACGAGAAGATATAGCAACACATCGATCTATTTGCTTCTAAGGAATGTATTATCATTGAATTAAAAGAGACTCACCTCAGTCAATGCTACTAAAAAAAAACTCCGTTTGTGATGTGATAATTTGTTCCTTGTCAACCAAATCCAGTCCACGCGTGCACACACACTTTTATTTGATGCAAACAAAGAAGCTCACTGTTTTTTTTTTCATTCGTTCTTTCTTCTTTCGATTTGGCTTTATACAATGTATACACAATATATTTACATCAGCGGTCACTGATTCAGGTTTACGGTGCGAATGCCTTTTGCGAGATTTTCGTGCAAAGTGATGCAGTTCATTTGGCAAATGAACTATTGAACGTTTGAACGATCGTCTTAATAAAAAAAATATGGAATATTTGGAAAAATGGTCACACACACGCCCGAAATTATTAAATACGTTGCATTTAAAAGGGAAAAAAAAGTGCAATTGAAAATTTCCTACGAAACAAAAACCAAAACAAAAAGATCTACGAACTTAAAAGGCAACCAATTCCAATTGGAGGAATGGATAAAAATAAGCGTCAAATGGAACGGCCAATTCAAAACGACAAACAAACAGAAAAAATGATGCAAAAAAATGAACCGTTTGACGAATATTCAGCGTTCAATGCTCGAAATCATGAATAATATTGTGCGTCGAATTTGGCGTATACTTTTAGTGCGCGTAGTGAACGTAATTCTGCTGCGTGTGTTTACGATGTGAAGTTTGTTGAAAATCTGCTTGAAATATTATTCCACTGCTATTTTATTTCACTCTCTTTGTTTATAACCTTTATCATTTAATTTTCAACAACAGTCGGAACACAATCGAACTCAAATACACACACGCACATCACATTCGCTACTCTTTCTGTTTTCGACGGGAGTGTGTGTGTGTGTGTGTGTGTGTGCGTCGCAGTTTAGTTTGGCTATATTCCGTTCAGCTGTGAGATGCTTGCATGTATGTGTATCAAACTACTTAGTCTTTTGTTTGCCATTCAATACAAGCTACACAAACTGTACGGTTCTCTCATCACGGCTATGCATTTGAATGCTTCTTGTTTACTTTGCTAAATCTCGCATCGGGTTCGCAAACCAAACCGTTTTTCTTTTCTTTACTGAAATCGGAATCCCATTTAAATGTATTACAATTTGAAATGACCACGAGTGTCGTTGAATCCTACTGTCGACTAAAATAAATTTACAATTGAAATTCATTTCAACCAAAATGTAATTCAAAAAACCGTACGTTTTTTTAGGCAAGTTTACCGTGATATTTCACCGAATCCATTCGGTTCGAACTCAATGCATCAATTTCGATAAATTATTTCATCATCTTCTAAACGAAATCATTAGACTTGGACGGTTGCTTGGACGCCATCTGTTGACATTCATTCACATTCGATTGGCTTTTAAGCGCAGTCTCACAATGTTTCGTTAAGTTTGTGGAGACTTTTATTTTTCAACGAAATCAGAAAAAAGCTGCAAAATCCAAATTTATTTTTCCATTTGCTAACGTGATGGCATCACTTGTTCTTTTCCATTGAAGCAAAGAAAATGCGATAATATTCCCGCAGACAAATATGGCTCAACTCCTTTGCCAAAAGGACATTTGCGAACAACGACTCTTACAAATTCTGCTTCCCGTTTTTTTTTTCTCTCTTTTTCCTTTGAAATTTACTGAACTTAAAAAGAAAATTAGTCAACAAATAAAAATGCGTCTATAAAATTTTACATCTTTTATTCCGAAAAAAGACCTTAACTCATTTGGAAAATATGCTTAACATTATTGAACGGATAGTTTCACACATTCATGCGAAATGAATATTTTCGTTTGCATATAACTTGACAATTCTCTAAATATTTGAACACCATTTTTCATCGCTAATCGTAACCAATCATTTACTTATGCTTTTGTTTGTTGGTCGTAATTTACGTGACTTCCGTGCATTGATCGCTCGAATTGGGCTGTTGCGAAAACTGCCATTAACTTTTGCTTTGGCATAGTGAATCGAATTGTCATCACCGTTAGATAGGATGTGAACTTTTGAGTCATATTTCTTCGGATGATTCAATGCTATCGATTTAATGGCTGGCTTTTTCAACACTTTTATTATAGTGGGTTCATTTTCAATTTTTCGGCCACGATGATGCTGTTTCGCTTGAATAAAATCGCTACGACTTGTGGGACGAATTACTATCTTCTTAATCGGTGTATCATCATCATTTTCAGCTGGATATGCAGCAACCAACAAAATTACTTGAAACAAAATCAACAAAATGAACTAAAAAAAAAATGAAGCAAAGAAAATATGGAAAATTAAACCAATTAAACGAAAACACAAATTAAATAAAACTGAAGATATAAAATACGAAACGAACTTTTCTCATTTTTACTAATTTGCTCTCGGTCCCTAGAATTCTTTATGTTCTTCGGTAAGTAGCTGAATTGAAACTGTTGTGTGAATCGTCATTGACGACGTATATACAAATAAGTTAATCACATCCACCACCATTGCAAAAATAGGATGATTAAAACGTCAAGAGAAAAAAATATGTTCTTTTTCGGTTTTTTCAAATGCGTATCCCTTTCTTGCCACTGTTTGTTTATTTACTACGGAGCTTATAGAATCGATTTGTTTTGCTGTTTGTCGTAATTCGATTTTGTTTTTATGAATTCTATTTTAATTAGTGATGCGATTGATCGTATCGAAATATCATTGGCAAAAGGAACAACAGCAATGAAAAAAAAAATCATCATAAATCACCTGCCTATGAGATTAACCGAAAAGCAATATGAAATAATCAACGGCATCAAGTGAACATTACAATGTTTACGTTTTAGTCTTAAGTTACTCTATCTCTTTCCCTCTCGATGAATCATACCTGTGATATGTGTATGTGTCTTTTTCACTCGTTCTCTCGTTCATTGTCTTGTTTGTTGTTTGCAGTTTATATTAAATCGGGTCTCTGTTCAGTAGTAGTGACGTTATGACCTTGCTTCTTTGACATAAAAACGTGTAAAAATGCTTGCGGCTCGAGTGAGGTAAGCACACTTAAATATCGATTTATGAATGACTCGGCCGATAAATGACTGACCCATAAGAAATGATGATCATCTGGTTCATTAAACAAATGAAATAACAATAGCAATGTTACGAGCGAACCGCAATCAATTGGTGTTTAAATACCTATCGCACACGTTCTTCATGCCAGCAGTCAAACGATAATGGCGATGCAGAATTGTGTAGCGGTGAGCGTGATAAGTTTGCAATTTAAATTTAACGTGGCGTTACCCACTTCATTTTTTTCGCATTCCTCTGGATAGTTTATCTTCAAGCATTGGATCTCATTTCGTGATACTTCTTCATAATTCCACTTCAATTCCATTAATTTTCTCCAAAGTACAGAATTCTTCTTCTCGATTCTTGGATTAAATACCATTCAAAATGAATGAAAAATGCAGCCTGAATTCAATCTGCAGCATTTTCAGAGCTTAAATTTGGTGTCGAGTACTCTACGAAAAATCGATGTGAACATCACAGAATAAGGCGACATCAATATGATAAAATTGCTGTATAAACATCATTTACTTGCTCGAGTATAAGGCAAAATCTTTTGGATTCACTTGAAAATGGTGCGAACAGTTGTGATTTTATTGATTTGGGCGTGTAATGCTTGCGTCGTATGCTTTTTGTATTTTGACGCCTGCCTTTGAGTCACGCAATGCGAAAAGAGGAAACAATAACCCAAAAGTAACATGGATTCGACTGAATAGGTAGAAACTTTTCCAATTCGAATCACACTGAATGCTGCAAATAACAATGGTCGAATTATGCTAAAAACGTGAAGGATAAAAAAAAATCGAGCTCAAGATTTTGCATTGGCAAAAGTTGCCGAATGAGTTTTCATGATAATCACGCACAATGCTGTCATAAAATTAAATTCTATGTCATTTTCCGTGAAAAAGTTGCGCAAGTAAAAGAAAAAGAAAAAGAAAAACAACAGCAACGGCAACGGCAACGCCAACATAAAACCCAAAACGTAATGGTTGATTTCCATTTGTTGAAGGAATACGTGCGTGAGCGCTGATTTTCCGATGATAAATTCGGTAAATTAGTATCCATGGCATTTGCTGTGCAGTGCTGCATGGTGTTGGTATTCGAGATAGCAAATAGAAGAGAAGAAAAAAAAAACGATTTCAAAAGGAAAATGCCAAAGAAATCAAAGAGTATGTTTTTTTTTCATTGGTGTGATGACGGTTTGTGTGCTGAACTCATACATTTTTGTTCGCTTTTTTCCTCGTGGAAAAAATAAATAGAATAAAACAAATAAAAGAGAGGAACGAATGAAAATGAGAATAAAAAAAACCTGATGCTGCTGGTATCGATCGAAAAATAAAAGTTTACATAATATTACTAAATCGACAATTTTAGCAGCTGCGCTAGAAATTCCCTCTCAAAAATATTTGTTTTGCTGTTTTTTCTATTGCGCCAAAATCCGCAACAACGAAACGCAAAGAAGAATTTTTTTCTCTTGATGTTTGGGGGGGAAATAGTTCAAAACAGTTGATACCTCAGCCGAAAATTCTGATCAAAGTATGGAAGTCAGGCACATAGTAGAGTAGCGACAGAAGCATAAAATAACTGCGCTACGTCCACCCACGCAAACCTCAAAACATGAATATTGATGCAGTCGACAGCAGAGAGTGAGAGAGAGAGAGAGAGAGAGAGAGAGAGAGAGGGAGAGACGTATACATAGAGAAGGTTAGAGCGTATCCACATGAGTAGCGCCCACAAAGCACCTATTTACCGCGACAAATTCTCATTGCCAAAAAAGGATATGAAAAGGCTCCGCCTACAAAATATGGCAACTTATATGACGTCATCAGGCTTATATGTAAGCGATTACAAGTTCCCTGAAAATATGGCTTTCAAAGCTTTTTCCATACAGATACGGATGACTTTGCTTGCAATAGCAACAGCACCAGCAGCAGCCCTTATGTAAAACGACAGAGCGGCGCACTGCTTACCATACCCGTACACCGTTTGTTCGTTCGAAATGAAATATGTTTGGAGCATGTGAATTTAAACAATGCCATAGCTTCGAAGATCGTCAGACAGTTTAGCCGTTTGTTCCCGTCCGTCCTGCAAAAAACGAACGAAAAGATTTTTTCTCGATTCGTGAAGAAAAGAAAACAAGAAACACACACAATTTTCAGGAGCGATACACAGAGAGAGAGAGAGAGAAAGGATCCTTTCCCAAACAAAAATAAAGTGAGAGTATACCTTTCACAAAACACTGTTCAATTCAGAAAGGTGAAACAAAAGTCGAAAACTTACCAATTTCAATTAGTGGGCCTGTGATTATTACGAAGTAAGAAATCGCATTGAAATACGACTTGAAATAAAATTCTCGAATAAAATAACTTTTGAAAAAACACATTCCTAATCAAATAAATATTTTAAATATCATTATAATATATACATATATTTTTAAATACTTGCCAAACTAATCCACAAAAATAAGTACGTAACTTTGGTTTCTCTTGGTTTTGCTTTGTATTTTCGTTAAGATTGTCTCTCTGTCAATTGTGATCAATTTGCTTTCCTTTGTGGCCAAGAAAGTGCTTAAACCTTTAAACACTACACAAAATTATACGCATTCAACACAACAAATTGTTTGTTTTCTTTTATTTCGGGACGGTGGTTAAACGAATATTGTAACATACAGTGATAATCATTAGACAATACATCGAAGACCTGAGAAGGTTAATTGGTAAGTAAACCGTAATGAAAAATCAAAAAAAAAAAAAAAACTATCAGTCATATAAATTATAGGATGTGTTTATGTTACTTGAGTAGTTGAATATGCGGAAACATCGCAAGTAGAAGGGTTGTGTGCTATGTGCCATATCAGAGAATCAGTGTGATTGACTCCCTTCAATTTGTGATGTGATCGAGAACTTCTATTTCACTTTTCCGTTCATTTTGATTAAATTTCACATTTATCCTTTGTAGCTATGTTTAAATCACGATTCGAAATCTCTCACATGTACGCTATACGCGTACTATATTGTGCACAATGGTACAGTCAAAACAAACTGCGTCATCAACCATTATGTAACCACCCACGATACGCAATTTTCAGAACAATGACATATTAAATTGTCGTCACCAATTTACAATTATCGGTCAATTCTACGAAAAATTTCTCTAGATTACAACCTCAAAGGCGGAATTAATTTCATTTTTCCCGGAAAATTCACGTTTTCCCACACTTAAACCATGAAGACCTTGAAAATTCGAATAGGAAATACTTTCTCAAATGATTCCAACTGAAATTAACTCGATGGAAAATTTACGAAATAATCTCATCAACTTGATACACCAACCGGATGTCATTCAAATAGAGAAAAAAATAATTTCTATTTTGACTTTGACTTTTTATTTTGCACATAATAAACTTCAAGGTCACCTACTTCCTGAATCAATTTTCAAAATTACAAAGCTTAAAAGTCGACAAACGATGCAGATTATTCGATTTTAAACGAAATTTCAGTCATTTCACACTCTTAGATTGGTTTCTTCCATTTTATATAATGAACGTTTAATGATGATTAGTTTAATGATATGCTAATTAACACAAAACGCTCAAGTTAAAATAGTTGAATGAAGTGAATAACTAGAAAATGGTTAAAATGAGAATAAAATAAAGTTGCGTTGAATTTTAGATTCAGCAATAAATCATCAGTAATAAGCATCTTTCGATTGAATCTGTTGCTTATTTGTTATTTATTTTTTGCACTTATTTTTTCCCTGGTTTATTCGTTGCATACCATCCCTGTTGCCTGTTTATTCATGAATAAATATTCTTCATCGTCCAAAAATTATTCTGGTTTATTAATTTTTTTTTTTTATTGAAAAATGTTATTTACAGAAGAAAAAATGTCTATCAATCCTGGAAATTATAAACTGTCTGAAAAGACTGGAAAGCTAACATCATCAGGTAATGAATGTGTTTTTGATTATGATCGCTGATAAAATTCAGCTCGAATCATTTCATTCCAAAACTGAAAACGAAGTTGGAGTGAATTGTTCATGTCAGGCGTCAATTAGATTTGACAAATGACAAGAATTTCGGTAAGATGGTCTCAACAAAATGTTAGAGCTTTAGCTTAAATGTTAAGCTATGTTTTAAGTTATATAAAACTGGTTCACTTGTCGTGATCCGATGATTTGTCGTTTTAATTGATATACAAGCTGGGTTCTGGTTTTACGACAAATAATTACACCAGCCATTAGTTTCAATAAGAAACGTCTATGAGGACGGATGACAGGATCTTGTACAAAATGCTTAGCCATTTATCTCGGTTGGCATTCGGTCGAAATCTGTGCAAATATTTAATACAACATCATAACACAATGTAGCGTGTAGACAAACGGAAAAAAAGAAGCGAAAATACCGTTTTCAGTCATAAATCAAAGCAAATAACAATGTAGAATGAGGCAGACGGACACGCTTACGCGATGCGGTGCTGTGTAGTAGCGATTTCTGCACATTCGAATTGTTGCTATTTTTATGCTGGGGTGCATATGATGTGGTGGCGCGAGTACGTGTGCATTTAACGCTTAGTGTGTATGTATGACTGTGTGTCTCGTGCATTTGAAACGAGCACATCCGAGCGTTTAAGCTGTGTAAGCGGTAATGAAATATGTTTGTGACACCAACCAAACATATTTTACCAACAAGTGCCATTAATATGTGTACTTTATTATATTGCAAGATATTGAGAGCTGGATCGAGAATAAAAAAAAGGAAAACAGACGATACTATAGATAAATGATGGCAAAGAAAAACGATAGATGACACTTACAGAACTGGCGAGATGCTATCTCAGTCAACAGTTGAATCTGAATTTCACTTTACCATATTCGATTGAAATGCAAACTTTTTTCGTCGGTTCTCGAGAATGGTGTGTGTGTGTGTTTCGAACATTCTTCACTTTAGCCACTGCAAAATGCCAAAGCAAAAATGCGTCCGCACACACACACACACACACACACACACACACACACACACAAGCGCACACACTCTCTCGTACTACGAACAGAAAAAAATGAAGTGCACAACCCTCGTAATTTGCTACCGTTTGAAGCGCCCGCAGCTGAATTGCTCTTCTGACATTCGGCTGAGATTGAGTGGGTAAACGCGTGCAGGAAATGTAATGCGATAAAATGTGTAACATGTTGATAGCGCAACGAGTGGGCGCTATAATGTGCATCTTTATGTCACCCATTTCCCTTCGTTCATACAAAAATAAATACCCGTGTTTTTTCGCTCTTACTCGTTGCTGCGAATCAACGGAGAGAATAATTTTTTTGTATGGATCACTTTAATCAATTTTAAATACACATACACACACATATAAAAAACCCTTGATGGAATTTCATTGTTTGCATTCGATTTTTTGTTGCAAATTGTTTGGAAATATTGTTGTTGGTTTTGTGTTTGGGGAAATTTTCATTAGTCATTATCTAAATCGCCTTTTATTACAGAAATAATGGGGAAAATGGAAAACACAAAAAACAAGCATCTATTGTCTTTAAACTGTGGTAGCCTTAATGAAATTTCATGAAAAACATTACCGATAAATCAAATGGGCTTGAATAAAATAGCAACTGGAAAGTCAACAGCGTAACACAGCTCGAGCATTTTCAAAATTTAAATGCACATTCTTCGCTCGAATAATAGATTAGCCGTCGCTTGTATTGTGCGAACGCACATGATGGTTTTTCCCATTCGTTTATGTGGGGCATATTGTATGTGTAACACCACATATGCACCCTGCATAATCGTTGACGAAAATAATCAGGAACAATCGCTTGGTGGAGCGACGACGATGACGAAAACAACGAAGATGGAATATTTACATGAAATTCCATTGAAATTGATTACATTTTGTGATTTTGGATGATTTTGCCTGAAAACTCCGCAAATACGGAACAATATCCGATTTTCGGATAAGAGAATTGTAAGTGTGTATCAAAAACATACTTGCTTCATTCTTTCGTTTGTTTTTGTATTAAAAACCTTTTATTTGTTGCCCATTGCAAAAGGCAAAATAGTTTACCGCACTTATCAATCAATGTGGATAAAATGAAAAGTGCCTCTATTGAATATGGTGTATCTCTGGGTGGAATTACTATACTCAAGATAAAGAGCGCTTCTCGCATGCTGTGCCCAAGTGTTTGGCTCATATCGGAGCAAAGAGGGGAGAATTAGACCATATTTTTTCGCTTCGGAAACGCCATACAGAGTGTTATTTTATTCACAATTACTGCTAATTGGGGATTTAGTGGGTCTTTTAACATCACCCAACATTTATTAGCACGTTGAAATTTCGGGCATCTTGTTACATTAAAACGTCATCTATTTCCCATTTTCATTAAATTAAAACGCACTTTATGCTCTGTTTCAACATCTTGAATTTGGTTTCAATTTGAAAAGAAAAAAAAAACACTCTTTTAAAACAAAACCATTATTTATACGATCAAAACCACCACTTGTGACGATGTGTTTGTTCTCTTGAGAAGTCCAACGAAACCTCATCTGTTCAAGATGGAGATTTTTGTTTTTGTTTACAACACATAAATTTTTATAGATTAAAAGAGAATATTGCAAATGGCTGCGATTTCAGCAATATGTCATGTGATGACGAGGAACGACGTTAGCATATCATATCATACAGTTCAAAGTAGTGTCACATCAACACTCTTAACTTTGCTTGCAGCACTTTACGTCCGTGTTCCATGATTTTTTTTTTATCGCATGATTTCTTCTTTAAGAAGGATAAAGTATCATCGAAGCGCACATTAAAAAGAAATTTACTTTGTTAAGCCATCCACTTTATATGGGTCCGTGATGGTATACGGAGGTTGGTTGAGGCTATTGCCACCATCATAATCATTTTTCGATGTGTAAATCAATAACTTGGGAATCACGTTATCCTACAACATCTTCAATGTTTGTCGATGTGAGAAGAAAAGTGAAACAAACCAAGCCAACCAACCAAATAAAAGGAGAATACAGAACATTCCCCAGAGGCATTGCGCATAGTCATATTCACATTCACGAATCAGCATGTATTGATCAACTGTCGAAATCCATTGTAGTCGCACATAATCTTCAAATAAATGAGAAATTGATTTTACTTCACCAGTTTTTTTCCCTCTCGTCTCTTCTTACTCTTAACATACATTTACACCGATGTATTTTCTTTCTGTGTGCGAATTTTTCCACAGTTTTTTTTTTTTAACTACGTAAATTGAAGATGTTCGATTGGTTTTTTTTTATGTGTTTATGTAATAAATTTATGGTTAAGCCAAACCTAATCTATGATAAATGAATGGGTCGAAGATGCTCCACTATGAACGGATCAATTTTTACCCTTATTTATAAATAATCATTATTTATAGACTTTCTCTCGTATCAAAATGATAGACTCGATGTGTTTTTTTTTTCCTGTTTGTGTTTGCATTTTACAGATATCATTCCAGCAGCAACGACCGATGCAGAAACCAGAGAGTTTCTATCGAAAGTTATCGACATTTTGTTGGATTACGTGAAAACGCAAAATGATCGAAACGAACGTATTTTGGAATTCCATCATCCAGAGGATATGAAGAAGTTGCTCGATCTGGAATTACCTGAAACGGCATTGCCTTTGCAACAATTGATCCAAGACTGTGCCAAGACCATGAAATATCAAGTGCGAACTGGTAAGTAGAAAATAAAACGAATCAATTACTATTCGGAAATTAAATATTGAATTTTGCAATTTGTTAAGAAACCATTCAATGTAATATTACGTGTGTAGCCGGAGTGTACACACCGAATGTGTGTATATGCGGAAAGCAAATGTCATTGATCGGTCGTACAACTCAATTGACTGAATACAACCCTAATTTGCTTTTGATTTCCCATAATTCTCGATGTGTGTCTATGCATTTGTACTTGAACTTATTCTCAAAATAGGACTTCTCTTCGAACAGAAAGTTTTTGTCCTGATTCTTGTTGGTCATACGGAAGAGACATTGTGCATGGAATATCAATGCTTGCGATTCGGTTTGCGTTGAATAAAACTTTCATCAGTCGGCATTCAATTGCGTACCAATGACATTGCATTGCAAACGGTGGTTTTTGTGACGCAAATTGAATTAATTCAATTGATTGTGTATGTGTGGCCCCATAACATTGCCATATGGTTGGCGCGCCGAAATCGAATTTGCATTTGAAATCAACCACAAATCATGTTTGCAAAGAATATCAATTAAATTTTCCCATGGCCCGAAGACCAAAACACGAGCTTGAATTGATTTCCCAGCCATTTTCTCTATCGCTCGCGCGCACATTTCGAGTTTAATCAAAAGTCACACTCTTTCATGAAAAGTGAAAATGATTTTCGGAAGTTGCACTACAAATTTAAATTATACTCTTAATACCGCTGTTTAGCATTTATTAAAAGGCGCCATCAACAGCATAATCAATCAAATGCTGCTGCAAAAGAGAGTCAGAGTGAGAGAGAGAGAGAGAAAGAGAGAGATCATGATGCACAGCGATGCCTGGGTGTGCGTGCGTGTTTGTATTTTATTGTCAAAAGTCAGAATCATGGATGCAAGCGAACCCGACAAAAATCGAGGGTGACTACCCGAAAGTGCCATTCACATTGTAACGTATTGTGAGAGTAGCACGTGTTTATTCTTAACGTGAATGAGGAAATAAAAACGGCGAATACAAATAAATACCCTAATCACAAACGATGAAAATTGTTGGGTAGTGGCATTTAATCTAATCTTGGTCACGTGACCGCAATATGAAATAAAAACTCTTTATTGAATTTTAATGCAATTGTCTGTTGCGATATACCATATTCCATTTTACTTACACCCGCTTACGTAAAAAAACACAATCACAGCGTACACGACAAAATGCATGGCCACGACGATGATACAATCGCAACATTTAAAATTTATTCAGCCGCACAAGCAGATTCACCAAATATTTGTATATTCAAACAAACAAAAATATATCAAATTATCACTTTTAAACACACATTTCGCTGGCGATGACATTGACGCACGGTTATGATCTGTTTATGAATGGGTGAAGAGATAGGATTCGGTTGGTAGATTCTAGGCTCGGAAATTGCTTTCGTTTCTTATCGAAACCATCAGATCGAATGGTAAAATTCAATTTTCTTGCGGAAGAACAGATGCCTAAGATGATTTACGTAAAACTGCATACAAGCACACATACCAAACACAATGCATACGCATTTTGTGTACACTTCCGCACTTTTTCATGTTTTTTCTTCTCGCTTTCTGTTCCTTTCTTTTTGCTCAATATTTACAAACCATTTTTCCGGTTGAGTTGGTGAGATAATGTCTGTGATGGTCGTCTGTCTTCTTCAAGTGTGTGTGAGTGTGTGATTCGTTGTGGTTTGTCTCGAATCGGCCACCGTTTTTCTCTCTCTCTCTCTCCGTTTTTACAACGTCTCTCCAGTTTGACTCGCCAAAAATATTCTGCTTTGTCACAGTTATCAAAAAGGTCGACAACAATAGATTTTGTGTACGGTTCAACGTTGCAAATAATTACATTTCTTTCAATAGTATAAAAATGCAAAGAAATGGCCCACGAAAATACATCCGGTTTGAGTGCGTGTCTACGAAAGGGGGACGAACAAGTCAGAGCGAGAGAGAGAGAGAGAGAGAGAGAGAGAGAGAGAGAGAGTAGGGGAGAAACAATTGAATTTTGCATCACATGTTTCGTTTGGTTCGACATGAAAAAAAAAAATTGGATTTATTCGAGAAAAGAATATAGCTCGAGATCTTTCCGTCACAATAAAACATCCTTTCGATGGGAAGTATTGTGTGATGGAAAGCAAAACGATGAGAAAAAAGCAGGTGAATAGATATTTGTAACATGTCAATGCTTTCAGCAGTGACATCGATATGCAATATTGTTGTTGAATTGCCGTTGTGTTATCGTATACGATAGCAAGTCGATGTACATTTCCTCGTTGTCGGAACACAAATTCTTCGCGTTGTGAAAAATGTTTAAACTAATTTCAAAATTCTTCAAATTCCAAACATGAATGCATTTCCATTGAAATAGCATCGATGCGGCTGAGTGTGGCGATGAAAATTCCCTATTCTATGTTGGGCATGTTTTATGTTTTTTTTTCTCGTTCAAAGTACGAGGCAAGAATAATGAGGTCGATGTGTGCCACTTGTATACAATGTACAAATTGTACATTCTCGACAAACAAATTATCCACATATAAAAAACACATCTAAACAACAATTCGAAAAACTCAAAATCCTCCCCAGCCCACGTTTTCTTCTTCTTTGTTTTCATCTTCCCATTTGAGTCTCTTTTTTTTTTGTCCCTCACTCACCCGCTCTCTGGCTCTGAAAAACATTTCATTAAAAGCAGGCAAACTGTCAAATTAATGCCAAACAGTTGGCGCAAAGTGAATGACTACGCTGCACACGCAAAAATAGGGATCAGTGCATCCAGTTAGAAAATAACAACGGATTTTGATTAAACCTTCCATCATTTTTACTGCGGATTGATGCAGTGGGTTGCCATTGTCCTTCACAATAAATGTGTTTTGCCGATGATTTTACTCCCATTTGGCTTCCGTAGAAAGGAAAGAGAAGAAAACCACGCCAATTTTTCGGCTGTTATTATTTCAAGAGGAGGAATTTCCGTCGCATTTGGAATCAAAGAATCATCCAGGTTGACTGAATTCAACATTGAATTTTAGAAGGAAAGAAAAATAATCAAAAAGCGGCTTAAGACACGTTCCATTTTCATGTCAGTGAAACAATTTAACGATGGTAGATGTGTTTACGATTATTCGCAATTAATATTGATTATATGTTCGGTCTTGATGAGTAAAATCAATTGAGCCGTTTCGGGAAATGTTTCTGTTCATGAGAATGTCAGCCAATTATTCAGCACTCAATGGGAAATGCAGTGCTCACTGCTCAGCCTAGTCATGATTAAATGAATCAAAATGTGTAGACGATGGAGTGAAAAGTGCGTAAACAAAACGAAGGCAGCAAAGAAAATAAGTCGGCAAATGGATAAGAATATAATGATTGCAACATTATTCGGTGGCTTGCATTTCACTAGATTTACGTATAGAGACATCAATTCTGACATCGGATTATGTTCTCTACCTACTCGAAATGAAATGCGGATGACGGTCGCTCGTTGCACTGAGCGTGAACCATTTCGATCCACTTTTACGGCACACAAATTTCGATTACAGCACACAGTCTGTGCTACTGCTGCTGGAATATGGTGTACGCTTCCATGCTATAAGTAAATCTTATGGATTATTCCAGGACATTTCCTCTCAATCTAATGCATTTGTTCTATTTTGTTAGACACATTACATTATCAAAGATTTCCATATATAAAACTGATGCAAGCTAATGTTTAAATACCAATCAAATGAGCAGCGAGAGCGACAAAAGACAACACATCATCTCATTTTGCCAATGGTATGTTTGCCGCAAATAATTGAATGAAATGAATCGTCTCGCCAAACCGACAGCCAGTCTTTATGGGATCTCAAAAATTTTCTATTAAAATTAATATAATAACGTTAATTCAATCGATTATTTCTGTCTCTTTCTCTCTCTTTCTCTCTTTTTTACTGGATTAATACATAATTTGTCATCAACATAATTCAATGAATTTTCTTTGTCTCGCTGTCAACGATTTTACAAATGAAATTGTGTGTGTTTTCATTTCAGGGCATCCACATTTCTTCAATCAGCTGTCGTGTGGATTAGATGTGATTTCAATGGCTGGCGAATGGTTGACAGCCACTGCAAACACCAATATGTTCACTTATGAAATTGCACCCGTGTTCATTTTGATGGAGAAGGTTGTGTTCGCGAAGATGCGTGAGATCATCGGTTGGAATTGCGGTGATTCGATTTTGGCACCAGGTATGGAGCAATATATTCAAGTAAAAATTTAGCTACGGTTATATTTCCCATTTTCGAATGTTCACGTTGTTGTAAATGTCATTGAAAATTGTTGTTTCCAATCAAAACAGGCGGTTCAATATCGAATTTGTATGCATTCTTGGCTGCACGTCATAAAATGTTCCCAAACTACAAGGAGCATGGTTCAAAGAGTTTACCTGGTGAATTGGTGATGTTCACATCGGATCAAAGTCATTATTCGGTTAAATCATGCGCTGCTGTCAGTGGTTTGGGCACCGATAACTGCATCATGATCCCATCAGATGAGACTGGTCGCATGATTGCCAGCGAATTGGAACGCGAAATTTCCAAGCACAAGTCACTTGGTCACATTCCATTCTTTGTGACCGCCACGGCTGGTACAACTGTGTTGGGTGCTTTCGATCCAATTAACGAAATCGCTGATATTTGCGATAAGCATGGTCTTTGGCTTCATATTGATGTGAGTAAGAAAAATGAAACAAATTTCTCTTGCCTGTTTGGCAGAAGAAAACATTTAGGTCAAGGACAAACATGCAAAACTCATCATTCATTTCCGTTTTACACAGGCTGCTTGGGGTGGCGGTTTGCTGTTCTCACAAAAGTACCGACATCCCAGATTGACTGGAATTGAACGGTAAGCACAATTTAATTAAAATTGAATCTAAGTGATAATTTAGCGATGATTATACGCATGAGAAAATTCATGGAACAAGACATGACATTCATTTTAAGAAGTAGCTCGAACGCAGTCACCCTAATTAACTAAAAATCCAAAACAACGATGAACGGGAAACCGCTCCGTTCGGTGTGTTCGAAATAGTTCGAGCATGATGCAGCATATGCCTCGTGTATGTATGTATTGTGTCACTGCGACGAATCAACAGCGAACGGCAATAAAATCCTGCTCGCCTTCTGCAAATAATTATTTCTGGATGATTTCGAAATGGGACATGCGGCGGATGCTTTTGACACAAAATCGTAAATCACATTTCGCTTTCATTCACTTTCCATGGCACATCATTTGCAACTGTTTTGCGTGCAGCCTTCGACATTTTTGTCGAAAAATTCGATGGATGAGGTTTTTTTTTCTATTTGGTTGCCATTCAAATTGCATTTGAACCAAGAAACAAAAACAAAAACATCAACGTCAACAACGACGCACATTCTGAAATAGAGAAATAGGGTGAGAGAGCGCGAAAACAATCTATTAACAGTTTTCATTTGAGCGTTGCTGCTAAAATCCATCCATTTGGCTAATTCTCAATTCATCAGTTGATTGATAAAAATAATAAAACCACGGATTTGGGGTTTTCGAATAGCTGCAGTGTTAAAAACCACTTAATCGAGGCTCGAATGCCATTAATACGGGCAATACAATAGAGGAACATTCCTTACGAAACGGGATTTGCATGTAATCAAAATCCACTTTCAAATTCAAGTAAACTTCTTGCTACACGATGCATGATGTTCTCTCTTGTGGTGAAGGTAATCCATTAAAGTATTAGACATAGTACACCATGGCTCTGGTATTCGAATTGATGCTTACTTGATGCGGTGAAAATGACGATACGTATTACATTGTTATGCAAAGAGCTGCACTTATTAGCCACCAATAACTGTGAGGCCATTGGCCACAAATCGATATAAGAAGATACAGTTCATGTGCACCGCACGCATCAAATATGTCAAATCGTGTCAACAATAGCGTCAGCAATCCATGCATGCCAAGAAAAAAGTGCGTGGGAGGTACGACATACCAAACATACACTGCGGCTCCTGCTGCCGTTGTGTGTTATTTGTGCTGTTAAATCTCATTTTATGTTTACATAAAGGATTATATTCAATAAACTCGCTCTCAATCCACTCGTTGTCGAACCTCACCATTTGCCAATTCATGCGTCCGTGCGTGCGTGCGTGCGAGCGAGTGAGTGCCCGAAAGTGTGTTGTGTGTATGTGTGTGTGACTGAATGAAAATGGAAATTTTCGTCGATTGCTTGTTTGCTTGCAACCCCTATAATTTTGCTGTCCCGCATTGCATAATTTGGAACAGAACGTCGAAGGATTGACTCGGTAATCTCCGAAAGTCTATTCAACACCTGTACTCGAGCGACTGCATGTCACATCAATGGATCAAGAAGAGAGCGAATAGAAAAAACACGATGAATGAGAGAAAGCATCAACTGAACCATGAACTGAGCCATTCGTTGCTCATCTTTCATTCAATAGCAATGGCAAATGTCGTTGTCGTTGTCGTCGTCGCCGTCGCCGTTTCAGAACATAAAAAAAGCACGACATTTGAACGCATATGGTTTGTGCATTCAATTGTACACTATCTCTTGTTCGGAATTGTTTGCGTTGATTATGATTGTTTGTTACAATTTTCGCATTCAACGTTACATTTTGTAGCTTTGATTTTCTTGTGAGGAAGACAAAGAACCATTTCTCTGCTCGCGCTTTGTAGGAGCTCTGATTCAAATGCTTTTGTTCCATGACAATGACACAATTGAGGCTGAAGCAAAAGTGCAAAACAACACAAAAACACTCCAAATAAATGTTGAAAGAGTTCCTGTTCGTCTCTTGTAGACAGGCCATGGGAGCAGGTGAATGATATATATAAAAAAAAAATCATTTTATTTATAATAACTTTTTTTCTATTCATATTGCAATAATTTCACAAAACATTCGAAGTTCAAACTCCTGAGTTGTACAGGCAGTCAGCACATAAGTCAAGCTGGTGCTGGAATTAGAGACTAAGAGCGCTACAAAATTGTTGCACACAAATTTTCATGTCTGTTGAATATTCATTTAAACCTGATGAATGCACAATTTTATCGACATTTTCCTTTGTACTTTCAATATTGTCGGCTCTGCGCAATCTCATTCGGTATCGTTCGTACTCGTGATTGTCTTCTGGTCTCTCTGTTTCATCTTGTACCATTTTTCATTCGCTTGTTCTGCTCAGATCTGTTCCATTGTACCGGCGAAGCCGATTTGCAGGCAACGAACAAAAGACTCTTTCTGACTGCAGTAAAAGGCAGTGATTGCATCTAATAAAAAATTAATATAAAATAAACAGAAAAGGGAGCGCAAACATCCCTCATCTTATTTCAGTCTTTGTTTTGGGTGAATAAGAGCTGCTATTTTGGCCGTTCATAAGTGCAAAAACACTTACACCATCATCGGGCGAAACCAACGTTGCTCTCATCATAGTCGTCGCCAGCGTCGTCGGTACGACATTGTTAGTAGGTAGTACTTGCAATCATTCGATTCGCTTTGACTTGTTGGGAGTTGTAGCGCCCTACTGTTTTCGTTGATGCGTTAGACACGTAAATATTTTCCTTTTTCAAATCCAAAAAGTGTCGCTGAGTAAATATGATAAGGGTAAATATACTCACCGTCATCGGCAGCTCGTTCATCTCTTCACAGCGCAACATAGAGTTGGAATGAATGCGAGCGGGCCAATGTTAAACAATATTAAATTGTTCCAAAGGGACTATTTACAATTTAACCAACCAAACATTTAGTGTTATATGCACGTTTATCTTCTGCTCAACCGTCAAATCGATTAAACTGTTGACTGTGGTGTAACCATCAATCGGAATCATTTTGGATTGTAGTTGATGTGTTTAATTAAAAATTTGCCTAATTTATTAGGATAATTACTGCAATAAAAGTGGCTATTATGAGCGGTACGCTAATTTTTTTTCCTCATTTCGCTCATTTATTCTTCATTTGTTGCATCATTTATTCATGTGTGGGTTGCACGTATTTTTTTTTCTTTGGTTTTTTTTTTCTCTTACAGTGCACAGTCGGTTACCTGGAATCCGCATAAGTTGATGGGCACATTGTTGCAAAACTCAACCATACATTTTAAGGAAGACGTAAGTACCTCATTGACGCAATAATCGCTAGCACTTAAGCACAAAACACTTAACATTGTTTGAAAATTTGTGTCGCGAACAAGTGAGTTCACCGGAGGAGCGAATTAAACGCGTCACACATCTCATGTACAAAAAAAAAAACCCATTGGTGCTCTCAATTTTATTCCAAATGCCTCCGCAATTGACATTTCATCATATGTTTTGATCGTGGCATTTTCCCACGGCCAAACAAGCATTCGCACTTTCCATTCAATGTTGTAATCCGCTAGAGCTTTTAATCGAATTTAAATGTTTCCGAACGGTGCAGTGTTTATCGATTAACGATTAACATTGCGCTCGAATTAACGTATATGTCTCGAACGGGCGATGTTCGTAATTAATACGACCACATACTTTAAATTTTTTAAATGTGTATACAAACGGGAATTGCATGCACACAAATTTTAAAGTCTTCATGGTCTTCACCGAACGCTAGCGTAGTGGAATCGTCAAAATTAAATTTTTTCGATGTAAAATTTGCGACGCGTCATCCGTTTGATATTTCGTCGGAGAATTCCCCTTTTCCATATGATACAGAGATTTATGAGTGCCATTCTCACTGAAGAATTCAAGAGCGACGAACTTTTACAAACGAACGAATAAATACGACGACTACAACGAAACAACAATAACACTTGAATGAACATTAACCGATAGTCAGGAGCAAATGTGCGCGCTTGAAATATTATCAACGCTACACTTTCCATTTACCGAAAACTGTTTTATTACTAACAATATATATATATATATATATAGTGAATGTATTGAAATCGTTCCCGTGCATTAAAACATACGAGGCATTCCAGCGAATATTTTAATTAAAAAAATTCCGGTAGAACAACTGTGACCGATTTGAAACATATTGCAATGATGTCAGTTGAGAGTTGTGAGAAGGCTGAAATATGTTGTGTATGCGTATGGACTTAAATAGAAAAAAAAGCGGATCGTCCGATGTTGCGAAGGGGAGAAAGATATAGTGCATCATAGAAATACTTTCGTTCAAGATATTACACATTTGACATTTACGACAGCCAGGCCTGATACAAACTCCCAGAACCAACTTGTTGGAAACTTTGAAACTTAGGGTGTAAAGTGCACAGACGAACCCAAAAAAAAAACATAGAGAGAAAGAGAGAGAGAGATGGGGAGAAAAAACAGCCTAAAAGAATGAACAATAGTAAATTTTATAATTTGTATGCAGAAGCAACGCGCTGATTTGTTTCTCGTCTACTACACAGAAACACACGCACATTTTTGTTATTGTGTTCCTGGTTTGATTGATTAAAAAAAAGAAATGCTTAGTCAGTTTATGAACTTGAAATCGTATCAATTTATCAAAGCACATTCTTTGCCTGGATCAAAAGAGAAAGTGGGAAGAAAAAGGGAGAAGTAAAATGCAAAATCAACTGAAAAACACAATTAAATCTGTAATTTTGTTTTCATTTGTAACTCAGGGTCTCTTGCTTAGCTGCAACTCAATGTCGGCTGAATACCTTTTCATGACCGATAAATTGTATGACATCGGCTACGATACTGGTGACAAGGTGATTCAATGCGGTCGCCACAACGATATCTTCAAATTATGGTTGCAGTGGAGAGGCAAAGGCAGCGAAGGTTTCGAAAAAACCATTGATAAACTTATGGATTTGGCCTTATATCAAGTACAACTCATCAAATCCCAACCAGATAAATTCCATTTGATTCTCGAACCCGAATTAGTCAACGTCAGCTTCTGGTATATTCCAAAACGACTTCGTGGCGTACCACACACCACTGAAAAGGAGACGGAATTGGGCAAGGTTTGTATCACACAATTTTCTATTCTATTATATCTAAATTCTATTTTCTATATTCATTGTGTGGTTTCACATTGATCAGTGAATAGAAAATCCATTGACATAGTTTTTCTAATTTTCAAATTTCGACTTTCTGAAGATCGAATTCAATGAGCAGACGAACTTAACGTTGAAATTATACAAACAATACCATTTTTTTTTTTCAATTCACAGATTTGTCCAATAATCAAAGCACGTATGATGGAAGCAGGTACATTGATGGTCGGCTATCAGCCAGACGATCGACGACCAAACTTCTTTAGATCCATCATTTCATCGGCCGCTGTTACCGAAAAAGATGTCGAATTCATGCTAAACGAAATCGACCGTCTCGGTCAAGATTTGTAAATTGACACAACCCCAACAATCGTATTGTTAATATGAACATAAAATCTATATCTCCCTATCGTCAAATATTCAAAAGAAGAAAAAAAAGATCGTACAAAAAAAATCTCAAAGTAAGAAAAAAAAAACTATATCATTGTTCACTATTCATTTCAATTACGCCAAGCAGATAGCTGCGTAAGCCAGACAAAGAATAATACTAGAATGCACGCGAATGGCATGAAGTAGAAGAGCAACTTCAATTATTCTAAAGAAAGAAAAAAAAAACAGACAACCAAGATAAATATCCGATTAGAGGAACATATCATAATCCTAACGAAAGAAGATATTCAGAGTGACGTTTTCTATTTTTGTTCAGAGTTTTATGTTTTTGACTTTTCCATTTATGTGCATTTAAAACTAACAGCAACTCCTAAATGAACTTAACAAAAACCAAATGAATCACATTTACTGGAATATGGGCAAAAGTAAAAATATATAAAAGCAAATGTATTTATTGTTGTTAAAAAAAAAAAAATAAGGAAACTGAATAATTTATCGAAGACAAAATGCTCTATATTTTAATTGTTGAAGAGATTTTTAGTTCAAATATTTTATTATGCCAAAACAAAGTATATATATTATATATTATACGAATGATGTCATGTGACGAAGATAATAAACAAACGAATGGATTAGAAAGCATTTTGGGAAAATGATTTGTTGAAGTTTCGGCGAAAGCAGAATTTAATTGAATGAACCAAGAGGATAAACTGCCAAATGGTGAATCAAAGTTTTCGTTATTACTATATATGAAAAACAACAAAAACAAACTGTACCTACTTTCAATACACACACATACACCCTCAATTTAAAGCAAAAAATAGCAAATGCTAACACTCAACTAACTCAATCTTTGCTACTAGTCAATTCATATTCTGATTTCGGAATGACACTTTATTGTAAAAAGCAACGTAATGGATAAGGCAATTTATAGAAAACCAAATGATCCCGACCACGAGAAAATCCAACAAAAACACCTAATATACAAAGTGAACATAGTGCAAATAAAACCAGTAATTGTAATAGCAAATACACCCGAACGCCAACACATCGTAATCTCAATGCATGGATTCGATTGAGGACACACAACTGCAGCAACGCAACACGATAATCAGATGTAAGCAAGAAATAATAAAATACAATTAGTGTGAATATTAGACTGTGAAATGCATTGCATGTAAAGAAACAAAAAAACTGAAATATTTACCCAAAAAAAAACAAATGGAATCAAACAATGAAGATTATACGAGCATAGAAGCGTTATTAAGTTATTGTTAAAAAAGAAAATCAAAGAGGGCAAAACGCATTCTATTTATTTAATTAGTTAAATTACACCTAAATGGTGAATGCACAGCATCAATTTAGATTATACCATTTCGAATGTATCATCGAAAAAAAAAAACATTTAAGCCAAAATTATATTTAAACAAATAAACAAAGTCATTGAAGAACTGCTTTAAATACATTTAAAACCAACTACATATAGAAAATGCAAAAAAATTATGTTCAGCAAATCCAAAAATAAATCAATAAATCAAGGATGTCTCTATTAGGTTCAACCAAAAGATGTCTACCAAAAAAAAGTCATAACAAATTGATTGCAAAAAAATATCAATAAAAAAGAAACACTAAATATATGTTTAAAAAAAATATATAATCCATTATATTAGATGTTATGTGTTGTTAATTTAAATGAAGAAAACCAAAATTGAATAATCTGGACAGAAGGACACTTCACAGATTGCTGCTAAAACAAACATCAAAATTAAATGAATAAAGAACGTAATTATGAATTAAAATTGTCGACCGATTTTCATTTTCAATTGTGAACATTGTTTAATTGTCTCTTTTGCAGTACATTATGTCGTTGAATGGTGTTTTGCCTTGGTTGGGTAAGTGTTGACAAGGTCACTTTCTTCGTATACAAATACATGAGAAAGATTTGACGTAAGACGCCAAGACGCCTCTACGCGTGAAATGCTCGAAGCTGTCATCGTACACATATATATTGAACACAAACATTGTCGTTTACACAATCGCACTCACACAAATGAACGCATCGATAGTGCCCGCTCAATATATGAACGATGACTGTTTTGAGTGTCCCTCGTCTAGAGGGCTACGTGTCGTTTTTCTTCGTTTATTAAGTGATCTTGGTGTTGAAATTTCGCAAACATGATTCGCACTATTTTGTTGGTAACAGTTATTTTGTGATGGACAAAGCTATTTTTGGCCTGTCCAGACACAATACTCAATGTATTTGTGTCAGATCTTTCATGCAAGTCATCATCTCAAAAATGTTTAGCTCCAACCAACAAAGGAGAAAAGAAAAGCTGTACAGATTGCAGATTGTTTTTGTTTCACCATAAACAGTCCATTGTTAGCCTTAGTTATTTTGAAGAAAATTCAATTAAAACCTATTGTCAAATGAGTGTGTTTTAGACATTTCAAGGATTGCGTTGTTGACTTATTTCCACACCATGCACAATTTTAATCGCACGATGCGCATTTTCTTTCTGGCTTTGTTCGGGAGAAGTCTTCAAAAAGGTCACTTGAACCGTGTGCGATGGCAATCGGTTCATGTGAATTTATTTCATTCGTAATGTCGTCAACAGAAACGAAATGTGCCGTTCCATCGCATATAAAATGTAATATTATGAGCCCCATTCGTAATGTTCGTTCCATTAAGATTTTTCTTCTTTTTTTTTCTTCTCTCAATTAAACCTCTTATAAATTCGATATATTCAACGATGTGTAAACGAGTGACGTAAAGAATTCATAGTAAAACGTATGACTTTGGGGCTCGTACAAATTTTATAATGACAAAAGAGCCGATAATTTAAGCACGGAAAATTATACAGAAAAGAAAATGGAAAAGAAGCAGAAAAGCCTTCGAAAATTCATCGTACTATAGAGATAAAAGTTCATGGAACGTTATCGTAATTTACACACTGTTCAGCTCACACCAGCGGCAATATGTTTCCTTCTTCGACGAAGAAAAGTCGATAAAAAGGTGGAGCCAACCCAATTTCCATAAGGTGGAGCCGTATGACCTTCACCATTAACATCCAACGATTACATAAACTAAATTGTTTGCTACTGCTGTTCAACGCTGGCCGTTTGTTTACTGTTGTCGTTGTTTGTCTTCTTAATGGTGGTCGGTGTTATTGATAATATATAATGGATCGCTTTTTCCTGCTTCTTCACATAAATGAAACCTATTTGCCCAAAAGTATGATTTTATTACACTTTTTTTGTCCAGAGAGTTTTCTGTTTTCCTATCTATACTACGATATGATTTTTCGTTCACTTTTTTCTATGGATAAACAATATACATATTCGTAAATAAACCACACAAATCATAGGTTTTGACGATGAGCTCAACGAAGATTGGTTTTGGAACTTTTTAATCAGTTTCATCCGCAAATCGAGCTCATCTAATGCTGGAAAAGTAATCGTAATTGATGTAAACCATACGGATTTTCCATACCCAAGGCCAACATTGAAATCGAGAAAAGTTTTTCCTGCCATTCAATAAGCCTCAATCTGAATTTCAACAAGGGAAATCATAACGCTGTCTGAAATTGATTTAAAATTAGTTTTTACTTTATATTCGATTACACAATATGGCTTTTTTTGTGCGGCCATGATAAGAGAACCGTTTTTAGCTTGCAAAAAGCGTTTGTATACATGGAATTAAAATATTTTTTTTTTTTAATCAAAAAGCGTCATCTTTTTGTTTGTTTGTTCGCTTGCAAATGCAAACTGAATGCTTTTAATGGGATAATCTGGAAAAACATATGCTTCGTTAGATTCGCATGCCGTCGAAAATCGCATAATAATGTTATCAGTTGGCGTCGTTCCAAACCATTTTAACTAAAAAGGATTTTTATCGTTGTTTTATTTGTGTCTGTCTGTGTATGTGTTAACAGCAAATTGTTTTACGAATCGTGTACGCGTTTCATATCTCCTATGCACACACATTTGATTTTTGCTGATTGCACAAACATTTACGTCAACGAAATCTTGCTTGAATTCCCTGGAAAACACGATAAATCCCGGCAGTCACTCCATGAATTTTCCGCTGAACTGAACAATTAGTAATTCGGTAGCGTGCAGACCAACACGGTGCGCAATTCAACACACAACAATTACATTTCATTGATCTACATTTTGGGTTGATTGCTGTTGAAAATTAAGAAAAATTTCCATTGAAACATCGTCGCATCATCGAGAATGATGAAGGTAACTGGTAAATTTGGGGTGGGGGAATGGAAATTTTCAATTTTGCACTCTTCAATTTGTGCGATTCAATTGCAAAATTTACGATCGATTTATTCATTGCATTAATTTATGTTAAGTGTACGAAATGGCATGAAATCGTTGTTGGCATCATCGTTTTCCACTTGCTGCCGAAAATAATACTTGAAATGTGGCTCTCATCGATTTATATAATATAGATTGATCCCATTTCCAATGGATTATATTGAAAAATCGCTTTTCCGAATTTTAATGAGCAGTTGGTAATTTGTCAATGTGCTCGCAATGTGCATATCACACATTTACGAATCAAATATATAAAGTTGTAGAAATGATGTTGCTGTTAGGCGAACCGCATTCACAGTATTTCTTTATTTTCTGACAAAAACAACCAACAACAATGAATCCAACATTTAAATGAACTTAATAATTAAATCGTGTATTTGAAAACTCTCGGTGTCATTTCATTCGATTTTAGCTTGAAATTTCGTTTTTTTTTTCTCTGCTTGCTTCGGTTGTCATTGAAACGATGGAAACGACATTAGTTTTATGTATCGGAATATGTGCGATATAAATTCAATAATATATGTATGTCTTTTTTCTCTCTCACTGTGTAGAAAGTTGCAACCCTTGTGATTCTATTGGCTGGTGTATTGGCGTGCAGAGCGCATGACGCATATTCAACCGTAAATACTGAGGGTTGGAGCACTACACAGTCGACAGCATCACGTACCAAAAATTCATTTTACCTAGATGCAGCAGCGAACCAAAGCGTAGTCGTGAATTGGTTGTTGGTTTGTGAAGATCTGTGCGGGTGAGTAGAAGCATCATGTAAAGTTATTTACTACACTTCACATCGTTTTCATCACTTGATCCCATTTTTTTTAACAAAAAAAATTTATGACTCTGGAGAGTGATTGAATATATCCATTGCAGGGAAAGAGAAACAAATTAATAACCAAATTGAACTGTTCGTTGTCGTTTAATTTTGGTTTGATCAAGTGAACTTTGATACCTTTTGTGTTAACTCTCTACAAAGAAATTTTCAATGGCTATTTTGCATTTGGTCATTATGTGTATTCTAACTTGAATTTGAATTGTGATATTTTGTTAGAGGAAAAAATTGAATTCAATCATATTTCAAAAACAATCATCGATTGAAAATATCATAAAATTGTTTTTGAATAAAAAAAATAAAAACAGTTTTTTCTTTTGTTTGGGATAGAGCCGGCTTCGGCGGCCCGACATGCGGCAAACACTGCTTCAGCAGTCCAGAAAGTGCAAAGAATGAGAAAAACAAATCTGTACACTTATGTCCAGTCTTGTGTGACTTTGGTCTAGGTAAGAAATGTTCAGATGTGTGAAAATTTTTCTTTATTTATTCCTAATAATTCTGTTCGAATGTTCGTATTTCAATAAAATCTTTGGGTTATTTTGTCTTCTGAAACCAATAGGTGGCAAAAATTGCGATTGCGACCAAGAGTCTTCCAAAACTCCAAAAAATGCTAAAGAACTTTGTACTGCTGTTTGTCAACATTCCAATCTAACCATCAATGGATGTTCAATGTGTTTGTCGGGGTCGCGCGGGTCAGATCATACGGTAAGATCAGCTATTGCGATTTTTTTTTTCATTTCGATAACATAATTTTTGTAAAATGGTTTGACCCAAAGAAATGGAATGATGGACTCATGTTCATTTAGTATACAGTCAATGTTTGACAAAACAATGAAGTCAAATCAGATTAATTTTTCCTATTTAAACGGAAACAATCAATAAATTTTCTTCGATATTACGATTTTTAGACTCCGGGTTCCGTTCCATTTATGGTCACCGATTCCGATCGTACTGGCTCGAAAACCGTACCATCAAAATTATTGAGAGAGGTTAATCAAGAGACGGCAACAGCCCATCATTCACCAATTACAACAACAACAACATCACCACCATTCACGACTATCGCCACCACACCGGACTGGAGTGTGCTGTGCATCGATCTTTGTAAAAAAGGCGAAGGCGGGGCATTGTGCAATTGTGATTTACCTCCATTAAGGATGAGTAATTAGTCAAATTTTCCTTTCAAATCAATTTTTCCAATTCAATTCAAATCAATTCCATGTTGAATTGTATTTCATTTTGTTTTTAATCCGTTCCATTCCAAAAAAAAAAAAATCGGAGTTCCAATAGGATTGCATTTATAAACGTAACTGACTTGTGTTGTTTTGATTCCAATGATTCAATATTTTTTCCAATGTTCTGTTCGTTTCAAAATTTTGAGGAAAAAGAAAGAAGAAATTAACTACATCAATTCCATATCGAGATGAAATTTTGAGCAACGTCAGTGACTCCATTGATTTGAACATTTATGTGAAAGCACACCGGTCCGGTCGAATGAAGTTACTGTCGTTGGTCAATTTAGATATAAGATGAAGAAGAAAAAAAAACCTAGTCACATAAGAGAAACCACATTTGATTTTAATCAATTTCGGTTTTTTTCTTCTGTTTCTTGATTTTAAACCGTTTTAAACGAATTTTTCGGTTTGTTTAAAACACCAAATGTTTTAAATGAAAAAAAAAAAACAACAACAACTTAAAGGGCTTCCATGCATCAATTCTAGTCAGTAATCTATTCGTTAGGTCATAAGTTTGCGATGGTACATTCGATGCACGCATTTCGTGCGCATTTCATAATCGAACCCATCCGAAAATAGTGTAAGGTATAAAACACACGGAGTAGCATTTTTTTTGGGAGGTTTTCGCACATCGAATCACAGTAAATCCGATTGATGTGTGCTATTAAAGAAAAATATCAACCAAAATATGAGGACAACAACAACAAGAAAAATCTCTCAATTTTAATGGAAAACAAATTTAAAAAAAAAAACAAACGAGGAAAGAAATTCCTTGAATATAATCATACTGACGCATTGTTAATATGAAAATCCAATTGACATGCTGTGGATGACAATAACTAAAAAATAATAATAATAATAATAATAATATTACATAGTTAAGAGGCAAAATGATACAATACCACTACTAATCGAAATGTTAGTAAACAACAACATAATATGCGATGTTTAGATGTAACGTAAATACTATCAGCTTTGTGTTGTGTAAACTTTGTGCAGTTTGATCTTTTCATAGTATCGAAGTATCAAATATTTGATGAGAATATCTACATTTTTTCTTTCTTCTTAGTTTGATCGTATCTTAGTGATTGTAATTGAATTTAATGGAAATGGTAATGATTTTAAAAAAAACGGAACAAGCAAGTTGGCCACGAACTTATTCCAATAACTATCAAATCATAACCACTACATACATATATATATATATACTATACACATAAAAATAATTAAAATAACAAAAAAAAAAAACGTATTAATCAGTAATTCATATTTTATCTTTAATCAACTTAATACAAAATAATATTGACGAGGAATTAATTTCAATCACACACACAGTGAACATCAGAAAAAAAACCAATCGTAAAACTTTCCACATGATATGAAATAACCAATGTCAAAATTCACCATTCCAAATCTATTTAAAAAAAAAAATACAACAACAGCAAAAAAGCCAATAAACATTTTACGTTAGAGCAGCACACAACAGGTCGTTTCTATTTATTCGTTCTTTTGGTTGGTTGCTCGGTTTTGTTTTAGATAACAAGAATCTTATGTAAGTATACATCGAAAGTATGAATTTATTATTAAACGGCTTCACACTGGGCGCCTTCTAGAAAATGTAAGTAATAAAAATTTGAATAAAATTCCGATTTACATACAGATATCTGGCAATAGCAGCTTGCTCTACTGATTCAAGTGACCCACACCAATTCAAAACCAACATCACACACATACACGCAATGCTCATCTTTACATGCGTTTGACAACAAAACGATAAGGCGAAACGAAAAAAGTGTCAAAGTTATTTATGAAAACCGCTTCAACAAAAAAAAGAACAAATTAATGAGGAGGGATCAAATACAAAGTCATATGCAAGTGAGCTAGTCCTGCGGCGATCGTTCGAGAAAGAGGATCTTTCTTTCGTTTTCATTTCAATATAAAAAAAATAAGTGAAAATAATAGACAATGAAATCATTCGTGTCAGTTCCATCAAACAGCGATTTTTCCATTTACAATTTACCATACTGTGTGTTTTCAACACAACAAAATGTGTGTGTACCGAAATTTAATTACCAATTCTTCTATGTAATTTTACTTTTAAATGATTTAATTGTTTGGTTCGAAATTTATTTCAGGCGAAAAAGCGTATTGGTGTTGGCATTGGCCAGTTGATTCTGGATTTATCAACTGTTACCGATTTCTTTGCACCAGAGTTTGTTGTAAGTAAGACTTAAAGAGTTTAAAATAAATATCGAAATTGTACAAAAAAAAAAAAAACGTTTATTCGGAATGTGTAGGACGCATTAAATGATGAAGTACTCAATTCATTGATGGCTTTAACTCCAGCAGCATGGAAATCCATTCGGAACACCATTCAAAATTTGTTGCTTGAAAATTCGGAATTAGACCGAAACGATGCATTAAAAGAGAAGTACGGTTTTAATTGACTAATTATTTCAGAATGTATGAACATTCATTGGTTTGAATTTACAGAGCATTCATTGAGCAAAAAAATGCCGCATTCCATGTGCCCGCTAAGATTGGCGATTATACTGATTTCTATTCGTCAATTCATCATGCAACAAATGTTGGTATTATGTTTCGAAGCAAAGAGAATGCGTTAATGCCCAATTGGAAACACTTACCCGTTGGATACCATGGTAGAGCTAGCTCAATTGTTGTGTCCGGCACTCCAATACATCGACCATACGGTCAAACATTGCCGGTTGATGGTGCCGATCCAGCATTTGGACCGTGCCGATTGCTCGACTTTGAATTGGAAATGGCCGTCTTTGTGGGTGGTGCACCAACGAAATTGGGCGAACGTGTCAATGCTGAACAAGCTGTAGACCACATCTTTGGCTTCTCTTTGATGAACGATTGGAGCGCCAGAGACATTCAAAAATGGGAATATATTCCGCTTGGACCATTTACCGCAAAAAATTTCGGCACCACTCTGTCACCGTGGGTTATTCCAGTTGCCGCATTAGAACCATTTGCCGTTGATAATTTTCCACAAGATCCAACTCCATTCGCTTATTTACAACATAAGAAACCATTCAATTTTGATATTGTACTCGAAGTCAGCTTGAAACGTAGGTCATACAAATTATTCATAACTGGTCCAGTCTTGAACCGATCAAATGGGTGAAAAGTAGTCAATCAATAACGATTGGCCAAATTTTTTTTATTCTCTTTCAGCTCAAAATGGTGTTGAATCTGTGATTTGTATGTCAAATTACAAGTATCTGTACTGGACAGCTTTACAACAACTAGCCCATCATACAGTGACGGGATGCAATTTGAATCCGGGTGATGTCTTTGCATCGGGAACTATCAGCGGTGAAACACCCGATTCATATGGATCAATGCTCGAATTAAGCTGGAAAGGAACCAAGTCAATTTTATTGAAAAACAATGAAACTCGCAAATTCCTAGCTGATGGGGATGAAGTCATCATTCGGGGCTATTGTCAGAAAGATAATGTTCGCATCGGTTTCGGTGAATGTTCAGGAGTTGTTTTACCAGCCATTCCATTGGAACAATGCACGTGATTAAAGAGAAATTAAATGAGACAACCAAAAGTACATACGAAGATTCTGTAATGCCTCCAATGTGGATAGCATATAACAACTAAATGTTTTACTACGGAAAATGTATAATTGATTCCTTCTTTTAATTTTGATTAATCAAATAAAATTCGAGCAAAAAATTCATATATTCTATTAGAATACTGGGATGACCATTCTAGAAGAAAAGTTGTGAGTCAGACTGCAGTTATGCTGTAATTTGACATCTCGATTCATGATCTCACTCATTCTCTCTTTCTCTATCAACAATAACAGCGACGTTTTTTGGCACAGAAATTAAATGTTGTTGCAAAAAGTACACACACGCACGACAAATGAACAATCCACTACGTGATGTCGGCCAGGTTATGTGGAAATCGTGTGTATGTTTGGTCGTGTCACCGAAACCACCGATTCCAGCCAGAGATCGGCGCCGATACGAAGCGAAATTTTCAAACAACGTACATGTGTACGCATGAGCTAAAAATGAATGTGGCGAACCAAATGCATATACATATTTTAATACAAACGCACCATTTATGATGACAATTTCATTATATTTTCTTTCTATCAAACTTATAATGTTCGTGTTCATGCAACAAGCAACATTAGTCCGAGTTTCCTAACAAATTCGTTCAATTTCTTTTTCATACTCGTAACAATATTCTGGTTTTTTTTTCTATCTCTCTCTCCCCATTGTTCGCTTGTTTGCTGTTTTTTCTCTTTTTATATATTTGTTTCACGCTCGTTATCATCATCGACATTGTATTCTAAACATAAACTCCCATTTGTAGACTCGCATCCAGAGGCTTCTCCTTGCGAACTGACTTTAATTCTCTCCACTGTGTTTAGAATATGTTGAAATGCATCGTTTTCATTCGATATGTTTGATGGTGTTTTTCTTGTTGCCAGGAGTTCTTTTAAACGGTTCAACTTGATATTTGTCTGCTTTCTTTGGCGTTCTGCTAGAGCGCCTTGACGGTCCTTCCGCTTTGGTAAGGCTATGTCGCTGGCGCGTTCCACTTGATGTCTGCTCATTAACTACAATCTTTCCACACGAAACGGCTGCACTTCCAGCCCCAACGCTTTCCTCAAAAATGCCAGAAGATTCTTCCATTTCCTTTGATGTTGACTGAAGTGATTCATTGCAAATTCATATCACCACTGATGAGTATGTTGGTGGACTCACCAGCCGATGCAAAGGTATCATCATCCACACGGCTCACATCCGAATGTTGATTGTATGGAGATGATTGAGACGATGAAACATTTTGCTCATCGACATAGTCATCACAGGAATCCATCGTTGCAGGAACACCTGAGTTATTGTCTCTAACATTGGCATCACCACTGATGACTCGACCATCATCATCATCAGCAACACTGCGCGGTTTAATAGTTTCAACTTTTGAATGGGATGTTCGAATATCATTTATCCCGGTTCGTCAACCCGTTCCGTCGTTAACCAGTTCGGTTCGATTTTAAACGCGTTTTGATGCCATATCGATAGCTAACTCTTTCCATGTGAATGTCGAATTTTTTGCGTTTTTTATCTCGATGCAGAAGATGCAAACTCGGCAGTCCTTCGTCTTGTTTTCCCAACGAACCTAAAATCAAAAAACAAAACAAATCACACATAACAGATGAAAAGAATATAGAATCTCCAAGGACAGATGGAATTGGCTTTTGGCCAACAAGTGGAAAATGCGTTTCAATTGTTCGAATATTTTCTAATTTTTCTTGTACTCACCGTACCAAGATCCATCCGTTTCGTTATTCCAATAATATGGGCTAGCTGTATGCAAGCCGGCACCATTCTTCTGTATAATCATGCATGCCACTGTGAATCAATTGCAAAAAAAAACATTTGAGTAAAGTACAGATAAACCTTAGCTCTAGCAATCTGTGCCATTTTTCATAAGGCGTCTCCACTCGCATTGAGTTTGTATTGTGAATGTTAAGGTGCGTGCAACGCCCTTCAATGTAAAAAACAATACAAGTGGAGATGATACACGGGATTTATCTGTACTTTCAATTTCAATTAGCGACAATATGACTCTCGATGAAGAGCTCCATCTTATCAATGTCTTTGTATGGTTTCTGGAGTTTTGTTAAAAGACTTAAGCAATTGTCTACAACGGTTTTAGTCCATTATCATGTTGATATGCATTTCTACCAATTGTGTTTTCGATGCCTTCTTCGATTGTTTTTCTCACATCTCACATCATCGAATTGATTCTGTACGAGAAAAAAGACAAAACAACAAAACCAAATTGAAACAATGGTATATACTCAGTTATACAGCAACAACTGCATGAACAATGATGTATGTTGTCGACTAGCAACCAACACCAAACACAAACGAAACACTTACCTCATCTTTAATTTCATTAATCATAGTTTCGTTCGATTAAACTCTATTTCCCAATCCAGATAATTTCAAAGCTAAATATTCTTAAATACACCAGATTGATTTTCGAAATGAATAAAATTTAAACAGTAAATTTGTTGTTTATTGCGTTAGCATTGAAAAATTCAACAACACACCAAGTCGACAATAATGATAGGAAAGCGCTATGAGAGCTGGCTACAAATGAAAGTAGATGAATGATTCAAGTCTTTTGACATTCAATTCAGCAGTCTATTTTGTATGTAATTACGGCAACAGTAATGTATTCAGAAAGCCCTCTAACGCCATTCAGAGCAACTATTTGGCTTTTCAAACCAACTACTTACTGCCAGTATTAATTTCAACGTCACTCTTGTCACACACACGCGCGTGGTTTCGAATTTAGAAAAAAAAACACTTCAAATATTTGAAATTTCTTTTGTTTCACGGTAAAGGTTACTTTGACGACGCTTCAAAACTGCTTCTACAAGAACGACCGACGCATCGAAAGATTAAGAATTTCACAGTGATCCCATCGTCAACTTTCAAACGTCATTACATCCGAATCGATCGCGAGGCATTTTACTGTTTGCTGAAGGATGCTGGATGCAAACACCCACGATTTTTGAAGCTGAATGTTACGCCAAAAGTCCGAGGCAAAACCTCAAACGCCAATTGGAACGTGGTGTGGAAGGAGTACTTCAACATCGACGCCATTGAAAGAACGCCAAAGAACGAACATTGTACTCAGGTTCAATTTGATAATACCATCATAACGGATGGAGTGGCTGCATGCTTTCAAATGTTGCACACAAAAGTTGTGTACGAAATCGACGAAGAAGAGCGTTTGAAGGATATTCAGCAGAAACTGCAAAGTGCACAGCAGGTGTATGGAATATCGATCCCGGTCTTCGTTTGGTTTTGGGCGGTGTACGGCGCAATCTTCATGGCACTGAAGACAATATTTGTTCGTCCGTATGCAAACTAAGGAATGGTAATAAAACCTGTATCTGATCTAGATACATTTTTAAGGCTATGAATGCACACTGTCGCCAGCCAAGGGCTAGTCCGAGCACTGTTCGAGAAAATGAGCCGACGTTACAACTGCACAGTGTTCTGGGTCGATGAGTTTTGCACTACAAAATTGTGTTCATTGTGCTTCCGAGATTTGGAACAGCCGGAAAAAGCCGGTCGAGTGAAGAAAAAGTACCGGTATTATTTGTGTCATGGGTGTGAAAAAGTGCCTGAAGCAACTGAAGCTGTCAATCACATCCATTCGCGCAAAACTAATCGACAGCTGACGAAGCAACGAAAGAAAGTTCGTCGACCACACCGTCGTGGTGTGCGCAAGGCATCCAAATTCCGGCGGTACAAACAACAGCCAGCAAATGGGCGTAATATGACATGGAACCGCGATGTCAACGCTGGTCGGAACATTCTTTACAGAGGTATGATTGTTTGAATCAAAGATATCAATTCAATTTATTATTAACAATAAACTCATTGAATACGAACAGGTTGGTGTGCAGTAATGGGCGTGAAGCTACATCAAGCGTTCAAGAGATCGGTGCAAGAAGAGGAAAAAGGAGCAGCTGCAGCACCACCACCAGCAAACCAGGTACTCTAAGTTTGTAATTGACAAACTGAGTATTAAGTAATTCATATCTGCAATTGTCATGGTTTTCAAAATCAACAATCAACACAAAGAACATAGTTCTATCCAAGATCAAGCGGGAATCCAAACACCATCTGCATTCTCGCGGGCTATAGGTGTTTCACGTCTGGCGTGGTCTTCGGTTGGGAGTCCCAACAATTATAAAGTGTAATGCTTGTAAGTTTTGTGTGGATTGAAATTTAATCCTTTCGGATTTTTTACTGAAAAATTTCAAAATATTAATATAAAATCCTCTTTTTTTCACAGTGTATATGAACTTTTCAGATTTCCAAGTGTTTCGGAACTGAAATTTAATAGAAAAAATGACCAAACGATTCATCATCATCTATAGAGGCGATGGCTCAGTTGGAGGGGGTATGACACATAGTTTGAGAAAAGCCTTGAAACAAATTTCTGTAAACTGTTCGGCAGCTTAGATTTTTGAGCACAGTGGCTGTTCAACGTAATTCAAATGTAAATTTCGATGAATGGTTATATAAATGCACAATAGCTCTTCATAACAAATGATAAAACCCATGCACAGATTTTTCTCAGTATTTTTTAATAATAAATTTATTTCTTTGTCATTATTTCTTTGATTATTTTTAGCACATGTGTGTCATTCACTATTTTTTAACCTTAAGTATGATTAATCCAACAAGGCAAACTAATTCAAAAACAATAATCAGAATAAGTGCAAGTTTATTGTAGAAAAAGTTGCGTTTCATTGCACGTAGAATGGCACTTGATTTGGAGAGTTCGTCATTGGCTCCATCCAGTCGCCGTTGGGTGCGTAGCAAAGATTCACGTTGTTCATCCAGTTCCGATATCACTTCGGTTCCGATATTTTCTGTTTCAATAGCGACTTGATTCGATCTGGCCAAGCTGGCGGAGGTTCGTTCCAGTATTTGCCGTCCTTCGACTACCATTCGCCTATTATGATCCTGCCAATCATATCCGCTATCAACCATTTTGGTCAATCTTTCTTTTTCTTATCAATTATGATAGAGACTCAGAATTTTTCACTGAATATTTCCTGTTTTTTTTTTTTCTTTTGGTTTTGAAAACACCGATTTTGCTTTGTTTTCTATTCCATTGCAATGAACATTGACTTTTTATTGGTTTCACTTTGCTTACATAGAGAAATGTCAGAAAATATTGTCCCTCTCGAAAGGTTAATGTGAATGACGCACTTTCGTGTCGCTGTTACTCTACTGTTCATTTTTCGAAACAAATGAACTCAACTGAACTGATATACAATTGAAATACAATCGCAAAGACAACAAATTATGCTTTTCTTCCAAAAATAAAAAAAAGTCATCACTTAGAAAAAAAATTATGAAAGACACTCATGTCGTTAATTTAATTTGTTGTTTTTTTTTCCCTATCTCTAGGGAGAAGATGTTCGGACGTTTGCGTAGATGGTCAATGTCTCAGCATGATGTTCGTGATGTTAATTTTGAATCAATCCAGGCTAACGTTCGGTTTGTTTGGAGCGTTATGTACACGAATCTCGTGACCTCTTCGACCGGCCGATTGTGAAAATACTTGATCACAGTATTTGCATTTGAATCGCTTTTCACCGTGCAATTGCTTATGCTGACGCAATAATTTCCGTCGTGAAAACGTATTGCCGCACACATCACAGTGGAATGGTCGTTCGTGCGTGTGCTGAGATCGTATGTGATCCTGCAAATGCCCGGGAAGAATGAATGCTCGATCGCAAATCGTACATTTGTGCGGTTTAATATTATTGTGGCTTTTCATGTGTCTGCCCAAGTGGCTTGACGTAACAAATGATACACCGCACAAATTGCATTGATACGGTTTTTCCTTCTGATGGATTCGCATGTGAATGGTCATGTAATACGGTTGATTGAATGCCTTACCGCACAGTCTACGATAGAAAAATGACGAATTTCAAATTAATTAAAAAATTTTGAAAAAGGAGAAAAAAATCTGTTCCTCAGAAAGATTACAAGTTCTCATTGCATCCGCTTTACCTGCATTTAAATGGTTTTTCCCCTGTGTGAGTACGCATATGGGCGGTTAGATTTTGTCGCAATTTAAATTCATGACCGCAAATTTCGCACGAATGGTTCAACGTGTTGTCCGAATGGCGCTTCAAGTGTTTCTTCAGATAATGCAAATATGAATATTCTTTTTGGCAAATTTTGCACACAAATTTATGCCGTTTCTTGTCACCAATCTCCACTTCAAATTCATCTTTGACCACTTCCTTGGTCTCATCAATATCGATTGGGTCGGACGAATCATCGCTTTTCTTGAGCATTGACTTACGCGAACGTTTCGGCGGTGGAACGCCCATTTCCATTTTACTCGATGTCAAATGCCGCTTCAATTTATTGGCCGATGCAAACGATTCTAAACAATGCGGACACTCGAGAGTGTTGGCTAAATTGTGCACTTTCTTATGAGCATTCAATTCCGAATCTTTTTCGTAATAGGCTGGGCAAAGTTTGCATGCTTTGCTTTCATCACTGTAATTATGATGGTGTTGCTGTCTCAAACCACGGCACGCGTACACTTTGTCACAGCAATCGCATTTGAATACGGAATCATCGGTCACTTCATTTAGAATATCTTGAACGCTTGATTCCGTTTCAATGATGAATTCGGCCTCTTCAAATGTTCCATCCTCATCCATATCATCTTCTTCATCCTCTTCATCCTCCTCTTCTTCTTCTTCTTCTTCTTCTTCCTCTTCGATTTCCTCGTGATGATTCAGTACTGGTTCAATTTCGATGGAATAATTTGGATTTGAATCGTTTTCAATGAATTTTTCTTCTTTCAAATTTGGCGAACTCAACACATGCACAATGATGTGCTCTTCAAAATCGGGAGCCGATAAAAATTCAAACGAACAACAGCTGCAAATATAATTAAAATTTCCATCTAAATCGCGGTACACTTCACCGCATTTCAATTGCTCCATTTTCAGATTGATTGCCTCACTCTTGCGCGTCCCACCGTCTACAAATCAAACAAAATATATCGAATAATAATTTTTTTTTTACAGAAAATGCACACATACATCGTTTTTCGCGATACAAAAATTAACTCACTCAAATTGTATGGTGTGGAAAAAAGGAAATTGTTTGGTGATATCAGCGTTTTCAGTTGGCTTTGTTGATGGTTTTCGCTGGTAGTGTGTAGTTTTTGGTCGTAAACTTTGTAAATTAAGAGAATAACAAATGTCAAACGTGTATATGCTTGTGTGTAGCAGAGATTTCGCTCGTTATGTTACGCTGTCAGTGTACTTAGTGTGGTGTGTGTGTGTGTGTGTGTGTCCCTATTGATAAAGTGGAGCATTTTTAAATTCTTCTATTTCCAATGGAAAACCAATAAATTTTCGATTCAATCATTTATTTAGTTCGGTGGCATTTTTTCTATTTGATTGAATTGTTGTGCATATTCTAAATCGAATGTTAGGTACACTGTTGGACCGTATGTACTTAAAAAACTAAGCACTTTGTTTTGACTATGAGGTAGAGAGCGAAGTATATCGGCTATTCGACACGGATGCAAAGTCAGAAACGGTTTGAATAATACTGGATGTTCCATCTGGGTTAAAATATTCAACATATTCTCTCGAATTGGGCTAGCTGACCTTGGATTCAGATCGTTAAATATTTTCCATGATTCATCTAGTGTCAAAAGGGATCCATCTACCGCAAAAATGACATGTTTTCCGATTTGAAATGATTTGAATTTGGATTAATTTTCAATGGGAAGGGCGATTAAAATGGAATGACTTAATATTGAACCTACTTGATTTATGCGCATTGAAGCATAAATAAGGAACACCGTAGCTTATGTGATACAACACATGATATTCGAATTTAATCAACTGCTTTTTGTTGTCGTTGTGGTTCAATGCCGCTTCTGTTGGTGAATCGTACGACAATAGTTCTTCTTCCTTAAAATCGATGCCATCTTTTCCATTACTTTCATCTGCGTCTTCGTCAATCGTCAACTGCAACAAATTTGTCTTCACAAGGTATGTGCCGGCAATATCATCATTCTGAATGTTTTTGTGAGCAAAAAAAAAAAAATGCCCGTAAATGGAATGAACAATCAGTTAAAACCTTAAAATGCCATTTCATTAAACAATAAAATATATTCTTACGACAGAAATAATTTCCCAGTTGTCATTAAGTCGCTGTGAAATATCGTGAATGACTTTGATATCCTTTAAAAATTGCTCCCAAGTGATTCCATCCATTGAAAATAAAATCATTTGCTAGCGAGTCGCTCACTTTGAATTATTTGTTTTTGTTTATATGTCAAACGATTGTGTATTCTCCACTGACTGTTCTCCTGAATCTGTCACGAAGTAAACTCATGCTTATGCGGCAAATGTCATTGCCGTAAACGCAACTTGTCCGCAGAATTTGCTTGTACCTACACATTTCGCTGATAAAAAAAAAAATGGCACAAAAGAAGGCTTTATTCATTTGCTTAGGTAATTTAGATAAATAATAACCGTATAACTGGTTCATACAACAATTTTCCCATTTAACTCTATACAATTAAAATATTTGTTTGAATTGTTAGGAAACATTTGTCGATCACCGATTGCCGAGGCAGTGTTCATTGATGAAGTAAAGAAAGCTGGTGAGGAATCCAAATGGGAGATTGATAGTGCGGCAATTGGTTCATGGCATGTGGGGCGCAGCCCGGAAAGCCGAGCACAGGCCACAATGAAAAAACATAATCTCGCTTACAACAACAAAGCCCGACAGATTAAAACACCCGACTTCAAAAAATATGACTACATTTTCGGTATGGATGAGGTAGGTTCACATCATTTGTTGTTTTTTGTCACCACTTGATTCTTTATCCTCTTGGTCATTCGGTTAAATTCTGCGTTCGTCAAAACTTTAACATAACATTTCTCTAAATTTTTTTTTTTTTTTAATCCATTTCATTTGTTTATTATCTTCGTCGTATAAGGAAAACATTGCGGATTTGAAAGAACGATGCCCAAAAGATGGAACAGCCAAAATTTTGATGCTAGGTGATTTCGATCCCGAAGGCGATCGCATCATTCGTGACCCATACTATGTAAGAAAATCATACGAAAAATCTCTACGCTATTCTTACACGTATGCAATTTTTTTGTTAAACAGGATGGTGGATCTGAGGGATTCGAAAAGTGTTATCAACAAGCGGTGCGCAGTTGCAAGGGATTTCTAGAGAAAGTTGCCCAACATAAAATCTAAAACAATGAAGAAAAAAAATTGTTAAAATTCCATTTGGTGAGGAGAAAAAAAAAACGCGAAATAAAATTGTTAAACTGTAATTGTTGTGTTGTTTGAAATGTTGCAATCAAACATTGAGTCGGTGGAGAGTGGAGACGTGATATTTTTTTTTCGCATTTTATTCGTTCAGCGGAGAAATGTTGTAGACTTTCGAGAGCATGCGATAGTGTGAATATTATTGTTTAGAAGAAATTTTTTTTTACAGCGGTTTTGCCTGCTATGAAGGATCTATCAATCGAAATTTGGCAATGGGCAATAAAAAAAGGATTCTCTTTGTTTGTTTAGGTAAGTGCAAATGAAAGTCAAAAATTGAAATTAAACTTTATTACACTTCTAATTCTGGTACAAAAATAAATCTTGTTTTTGAAAAAGAAAAATATAATAAAATTCAATTTTGGTTTAATCGATTGATATAGTGGGATACAGTGGTTCATAACAGTAGCTGAAATAGCTGAGATTTTCCTCTTATTAATATAAAATTCATTTTCATGTGAGAGAACGTCACGAGGCTTCAAATTTTTTTTTCAACGTGAAATTACTTCACACCATCGCAACACTTATTTTATGTTGAAGAAAAAATAAATGAGAAAGCTCATTGCGTTCTATAAAACAAAAATAAATTTCACAATGAGAATAAGAGGAAGATTCCGACTATTTTAGTCGTTGATTCATATGCAAATTATTTGGAAAACTAAAAAATTACGAAATTCATTCAAATTCTCATTGACCATATTTTTAATTTTTCGTCGATTATGATTTCAGGAAATACGTGTCGTAGTCCAATAGTCGAAGCAGTTTTTATGGATTTGGTGAAAAGGGCGGGGGTACAACGCGATTGGGAAATTGATAGTGCAGCAATCGAAGCGTGGCATGTGGGTAACCGTCCAAATCCACGTGCGGTTGCTGTCATGGAAAAATACTGTTTGGCCTATGATAATCGTGCAAGACACATTACCACCGATGATTTCTATAAATTCGATTATATTTTGGCAATGGATGAATACAATGTTGAGGATTTAACGGAGTTAAGACCAGACGATGCCAAAGCACAAATATTTCTATTAGGCGACTTCGACCCAGAGGGAGAGAGGATTATTAGAGATCCATATTGCGTAAGTTTATTTATGAAATTTCTAATGAAAATACCGAAAATCTAACGTATTTTTTTTTTCATTTTGCCCAGGACACAAACTCGGATGGATTTGATAAATGCTACCACCAAGCAGTAAGGAGCTGTAAAAGTTTTCTGGAAGATATGAATACCAATTGAATAGCTTCGTTATTTCATTTTTAAGCAAATATCAATATATTTAATTCTAAGTAAAGAAAAGTATTATATCGCTGTTAATGTTGATTAATTTTATGGCTTGCCTCAATGACAATACAATGAAATCTTAGCTAGAGATGCGTTTGCAAACGTATAATTTGCATGTTCAAATAAATTGCTTTGCTAAAATCAAACCAATGCGCAGTATCATTTTTCCCCTTCAAAGAAGAATGAAAGGGAAAAAAAAAATGTTGATTGTCACAGCGATTGTTCAGAGCGAGCCAAACATTTTGGTACTGATTATTTTCTTGTCGACGACTGGAATTCATTCACATGCGCAGTAGCGTCTCTGTTGCCTTCAAAGACGATAGAACTCATTCTTATTCTCAATAGCATAAACAATCAGCAGAGTCGAGTTCGACAAATTATCCGATTCCATTTTTTGCAATTTAACCACCGCTTAACACAAATTTTTTTCAATTGTTTTTCCTGTTTTCCTCTCCTGGGCAATATTTTTCATCATATCCAACGCGTTAGTTTTGTTGTTTTTATTTTTCGTATTCAAAAATTATTCCGCGAAACGTGTTCGTATGTGTATGAATTTGTGCTGAAACGGGTGCGATATATACGAATTGGTTCGCAATGATTTTTATGACAAAGAAAATAGAATAAGGTTAACTATCGTCGTTGCGTGTACATCGCGTTGCTCGTAAATTAGGCTCAAAGGAAATTATTGATTTATCCATAGTTATCCTTAGTGCATGTACTACTACTACTAACACTACTTCAAGCACATCACCAGAAACGTGAAATATCATCGAGTCGAAATGAAATATTTTCTTCGTATAAATCATCGATGCAGTCAGTGCATAAGAAAAAAATAGAAACTAATTAAAAACGGAAGCAGCGAGCGACACAAGGCATCCACTCACACAATATATACGTCGTATATTTGTTTTTGATATTGTTTTGTCCTCATTGCATACATATATACTGAATATTTTATCGATTTGGTTTTGTACATTGTCAATATGAGTGTGCTTCGATTTGTTGGGTGTGTGGCCATTGTATTGTTTATATTGTATGGAAGTAATTATGCAGCAGGTTTGTGGTTGAAAATGCAATTTCTCTCTCAAGGACGAGACAGGCGAAAAACCAAAAATTAATTTCACCAATTTCATTCTATTTGTTTAGTTACTGCCCGCAAGGGAGTTGGACTAGTGTGTGCTGACTATCATGGTCCTCACTATAAAGTTGAATCAGACTCATCGCAAAATGACGATGAGACTAGTGCCGAGTATGAAGATGTTAGCGATAAAAGTGTTTTTAAGACTGAAAAGGTAATTTTCACGGAACATTAGCCCCATTCTTTCGACATGAAATACAACGGAAATTTGATTTTATTCACCATATTACCTAAATTTATTTGGTTACAGATGAAAGAAATGAAATGTGATAACGAAAATTCGGTATGTTATGCCGTTTGGTACATCGATTCGAATGGTACGCGTGTGATACAAGCACAGGGATGCTTGCAAGTCATGTCGGAGAATCAAACCAAGTGCGGAACGGATCAATGCATAAATGTTCGACCACAATTGCCTCGTTACTGTTGCTGTACGGGCCATATGTGCAACGTAAACATTACCGAGCGCACCATCCCAGTCATTGGCCCAAAAATTTTCTCCATCGAAAATAATGTGCCCGCTTCGTTTAACGAAACTTTTATGTCAGCATTAAAATCGCAGCGCCTGTGGATTGTTGTGCTGATCATTTCGATACCGATGATTGTTAGTTTGGTGTATGTGGCGCTTTGTCGAAGCGGCTTCACCAAACCGGAACCAAAAGTGTTAAGTGTACCATCACCGAGTCCAAAATACAGTTCTGATCTATTGAACGTTGACAATTTGAAGTTGTGTTCGATGATTGGACAAGGCAAATACGGGACCGTATGGAAAGGAATGATAAATGAGCAAACGGTTGCCGTGAAACTGTTTCCAGCGCAACACAAAGATTTCTTTCTGAACGAAAAAGACATTTATTGCTTGCCAACAATGGATTCACCATATTTTTTGGAATATTTTGGTTGTGATGAACGACGAACACTCGACGATAATATCGAATATTTGCTAGTCTTGTCACTGGCACCGTTGGGATGTCTACAAGATTGGCTGGCACAAAATACAGCTTCATTCGAAGTGTACATTAAATTGGCTCGATCGGTTGCCGGCGGACTGTCGCATTTGCATACATCCGTCAATTTGGGAAATGTGATCAAACCATGTGTTGCCCATCGTGATTTCAATTCAAGAAATATTCTCGTCAAAGCCGATCTATCGTGTTGCATCTCGGATTTTGGTTTTGCGCTGAAAACCTTCGGACCACGATACGAATGGAAGGGTATCATGACACTGGCCGAACACAAGAGCCTCAACGAAGTCGGCACAATTCGTTATATGGCACCCGAAATACTTGAAGGTGCAGTTAATTTGCGTGATTGCGAAACGGCATTGAAACAAGTCGATATCTATAGCTTAGGCCTGGTTCTTTGGGAATTATACACACGATGCCACGAATTTTTTCCACCCGAAGAATCAATGCCACCGCATAAGCAACCGTACGAAGCCGAAGTTGGTAAAATGCCATCACTGGAACAAATGCAAATTCTTGTATCGCGACAAAAGGTTCGGCCAAAATTTTCATGTGCATGGAAACGAAATGTATCGGCAAAAATTGCCAAAGATACGTGCGAAGATTGCTGGGATCATGATCCCGATGCACGCCTAACGGCTTTATGTGTGGAAGAGCGATTGCGGGAAATTTCCACGCATCGATTACAATCGCCGACTGTGGCAGAGAATTCGTCATTACTCGCATTCAAACCGAATACAAGCATTCTACGGCCTAACAACGAAACAATTCCCATTCCGAATGAACGGACGCTAGGCAGTACGTCGGACGACATCAAAGTGTTCCGCAGCGGCGATAAGTATGACGATAAGCACAATAGTAAAATTATTCCGAAACTATATGGTTGGACGAGAATTCGATCGTTGCTAAACAAACGAATGAATCTGCATTCAAAACGGAACGATGAAATGTCCATTTTAACTGACGACAATAAATCAGTAGTGAAGCCAGGTGAAAGTCAACCGCCCACATCGATATTTCAGCAAGTTGACAATAATCGTGTACATATAAAGACAAAGCATTTGCCCCAGATTCGTCCAAGGAATTTAGATTTAGCCCTGCCGCATATCAATGCACCTGATTCAACGTTGCTGCAGCCAGAAATTGAATACTCCAATTCATTTCGAAACTATCAAAGCATGTACAAACGGCCGCCGGGCACGGGAGATTTTTCCAATCAACAATTCACAATTATCGATGAAGCCGAACAGCACACATTATCGTCATCATCATTATCAATGGCGGCAGCAGTGGCTTCGACGACAAATCGGCTTAAGAAACCAACGGGTTTGGTTGAATCAAAATCGGCGAACGCTATGAAAAGTTTACAGGGTTCCGAGCTATATCCGGATGAATGGCACATGAAGCGACAACGAAGTCTGGAGGTGTTTCGTGATGTGTTTGGTGTTAAAGGCAGCATTGAACGTTTGCGTGATCCAAGCGAACGAATCAAAACCCCGGGCGATGTACCAAAATCGGTTCGCAAAGTGCGTGCATCGAAAACGTTGTCATTGTACGATGATCGCATGATGAATGCATCGTCAACGGGAAGCACACTTTAGCATGAGGAGGTTCTGTTACTGGAACTGTAGATCAAACACACAAATCTGGTAACAGATCAAACATACAAATATCCAGGCGATTCTATGAGCTAGCCTTGGCAACGAATTACACAATTAATTAGCACAAGCCAAATCCTCCAAAATTCAATCGTAGTTCCCTTCGATTATATCTCTGTTTCTTACCTGCAACTTTGCTTGATGCTTGTTGCACAAACGTTTACATATTTAATCAAATACTCTTTATAAAGGAGACAAATAGATTGGACAATTCACTCTTTTCCACTGTACAAACATAGTTTAGGATGTTAATTGAGACAAAAAGCAAACAAACAGACAGAAAATCACTTTTATCAGAAGAAAAAAACATTTTTCAAAAATGCAACCATCAACAACGGGAACTAAAATGCTATCAACAGATCATTTCACTATCAAAAATATCATAATTGTATTTGAATTTCGATGTAAGATTATATAGCTTTACTCCCATAAATAAAAGTATTATGATTAAGAGGAGATTTAATGGTATTTATTTTCTTTAAATTTAAAAAAAAAATGATAACTTTTTATGAAAAGTTACTTAGACTCTTTGATGCCAAACCCTTGACTGGACCATTCGCATTTTTCTTCGTTCTTTATTGAAAAACATAGTAAGTATTGAAACTATATAACTACCTCTATACGTTAACATGATTTTGTCATCTTTGCTGCGAAGCAACCGCTTGAAATAATTCAATAAAGACTGAGATCATGCTCACTGCGCATCGTTCTGTGTATTTATGCGAACAAAGTAGAATTCGTACGTTTGTGATAAATCTGCTTCGCTATCCGTTGAAAGTTTCGATGAAAGAAGTCCAATTTTTAACATTCATTACATCAATACATTTTTAAATAATAATTGGATATTTTTTTCATCACAATCAGTTGATCTATAAGAAATGCCAAAAAACGATTTCAACAATTGAATTGATCCACATAGTGAACTTCATGCCTCTTGTTACTTCTTTCACTCGCAATGTCTTCAAAGTCATTGTCCTGATCGCAAAAAAATTGTCCAATCCATTTACTACACTCTGAAGCGATTGCGATCCGATTGAGCAGTTAACTCAGTTCAGCGAGTTACATAAAAGAAAATTTGAAAAATAAAATGAAAAATGATAGATTTTGCTTGAGTTAGTTTCATTGTCTGAAAATGAGCCGCAATCACTTTTGCTTTGATTTCATGGTCAATTGGCTCAAAATATTTCTAACAAACAATTAAAAAAAATGATCGGTGTACGCCACTTCCGTTTGAATTTCTTCGAAGCATTTGTATTTAGCGTATATTGGGGGCTTTTGCAAAATGGTTCATTGCATTGGCATTAGCACTTCATAAAATTGAATATTTTTGTAAAACATCGAATCAGTTTTGTTGTTGATGGTACGTCGAAGAGTATGATCGATAGCCAATTAAATTAAATGTTATGAAACTGCTTAACGCTTGGTTAAATTCAAGCGATTTGACAAAAATCAAAAGGCGCAACAGATTGAATGAGCCGTTGAGCACCAAACATAACTTAATCACCACACAGCCAAACATAATAATAATAAATTCAATTTAGTTAGAAATTAATACGTGGAAAATCGCAATTTCTTTGCGTTTCGCACGTACCGCCAAAAACAAAATTTCCGTTGCAACAGAAATAAATGGACTTTCCGTCAGATCGTTGAATCTATTGGCGCAAAAATTATCATTCTTTGCCATTGGCCATTGACTCTCGAAAAACTTTTGAAGAAAATAATGTTTCATAAATATGATTCATATACAACTAAAATAAATGAAGACTAATTCAAGTCTATTTCTTGTTTCCAGTATTACAAAGAGACTTCTAACCCATGTCAATCTGATGCATTATCTAAACTTGATAAAGCCAGGCTTCGCGCGATTTTTAAGATATCAATTGTTTTGTTGATGATTGTGATCCAAGTACAAACCTAAATTGGGTTCATAAAAACCATCGGAAGGATTTCAATGGCATCAAACCTGCATCGCCCTAAAAAACCAATCAATTATCTATGTTTTGTTGAACAAAACAAGAAACACCATGACCATAATTTTATGCAAATTGATACTGAAAACGAACCAATTTTACTATTGCAATTATTTTATGGCTCAGAACATAAACGGATATAAATTTCAAACACACACACACACACACACACACACACACACACACACGATGCGTTCGTTCACCCGGTCATAATGCAAAAATGGTGTGCTCGTAGTATATTCGGAAACAGATTCAAGCTTTTACGAATTAATAACAGTGATTAAAATTTTGACGGGAAATTATTGTATGCGGTCGCGGAAAGAAAATGAATTCAAAATTCGCCAACAACAACAGCAATAGCAACAGCAGTAGCAACAAATTTTTGTCAAAATGCATGCATTTCAATCATAATGTTGTAGTAAAATTGGCTGGAAATGCAACGCATAAACCTCATATCACACTTTCGCTCAAAAAAAAAAAACAATAATAACTAAACGCTTCAACAGTGTCGAAACAGCTGGCCACTGTGTCGCAAAGCTTATCCACGAAAATAAAATAATAATAGCAAAGTCCCCTAAGCAGCAGCAGCAGCAGCAGCAGCAGTCGGTGGTTATGAGCAGAATATGAGCGCATAAATGCAGCCTGCACATTTTCTATTTTGACGCATTTAATCTCAAAGCCAATCTTCATTCCACACGTGCTGCGATGTATTTATGACTGCGAAAATTACACATTCGAGCGATTTGTTTGCATAAGATATCAGGTGGAAAATCCATTTGTTCAGTTTATGTTTTAACATTTTTGTTCGATCCTAACACTTTCCATCCGAGTCATGTTCATAATGTTTTTTTTTCTGTGTATGTGTTTTGTTTTGCTTGTGATTTTACTTTTAATCGATGGCTATTGTGTGTTAGGTTTGCGAGTCAATCAAACGTGATGAAAACGTTTAGTGAAAAGTGAATTTCTTTGTTTTTGTTTTTGTTTTTGTTTTCTCGTTTCATTTTATTTATTTTGGATGGAACAGTGCATTTGACTATCGGATATTCTCACATTTGAAAGGTCTGGATTGTGTGATTTGAAAGGTGTTGGGTGTTTTATTTGACAACTCATTTGATCTCGATTTGGTGTTTGGAGTCTTTGATGTTGGGTCGATTGATTTGGCCGAATGAATCGAATGTCACGGAGTGAAAATGCTGCGGCTTCGCCGTTGGTGCGCCAATGAAAATGATTTGGCCTGCATGGTTCACGCTTCACTAGATTCATTGTCGCAATGATGATGATGATGGCGAGTGGAAAAATGTGGTTGCCGCTATATGAATTATGCTCAGGGGAAAAACATGTGATGTCGTCGATCATCACACAAACGTATGGATGTATG